TGTGTACGTACAACTTCCTCATTGTGGACATTCCTTTGTCGATAATGTATAATAACAACCCAGTTAGGCACGTCTTCTCTGCTACCAGTATACTATGTGGCTTAAAGATCTTACTATGTGTCTTAACGATCTTATTATGTGGCTTAAAGATCTTATTATGTGTCTTAACGATCTTATTATGTGGCTTAAAGAGCTTACTATGTGTCTTAACGATCTTACTATGTGGCTTAAAGATCTTACTATGTGTCTTAACGATCTTACTATGTGTCTTAACGATCTTAATATGTGGTTTAAAGATCTTACTATGTGTCTTAACGATCTTACTATGTGGCTTAAAGATCTTACTATGTGTCTTAACGATCTTACTATGTGGCTTAAAGATCTTACTATGTGTCTTAACGATCTTACTATGTGGCTTAAATATCTTATTATGTGTCTTAACGATCTTACTATGTGTCTTAACGATCTTACTATGTGTCTTAACGATCTTACTATGTGGCTCAAAGATCTAAGTATGTGGCTTAAAAATCTGCCCTTGATCTGTACTGTGTTGACAAGTCAGGTGAATTGATTTAGAAGTATATTAATATATATTATTTCAAAGTCGTGTATATAGAGTGGTTGTTGGATACGGCGTTTATTTCACTAAATTATTATCGCTAAAGCTCGTGTCGTTTGTAACTTTTAAAAAATAACTAACGAGAATGAAATAAACGCCGTATCCAACAACCACTCGTTATTTCGAGATCACAGGCGGTAGGCAAAGACTTTTATATGTATACGTGTGTAAACAATTTGCTGACATATGCAAATGTGGCGTAGAGATATCACTCAAAGTGAAAAGGCTCCATTTAATATTCAAAAATATATATGATGATAAATAATTTATTTCTTTATTATTTTCACAATTGTAAAGTTTACACATAATAACACAATGACGATTAGTTGTCTTATAAACTTGAACAGTCTATATAATCGTAGAAAATCGCGGACTATATTAGGCGCGCTTTTATACACACACATATAGTGGTGTCATCTGGTTCCCGCCGGAAACTTCAAACTCAATCACTGTCAGAATCAGAGTACAGCACCCTTGGTCTGGGACGTTTATAGACGTTTGTGTTGTTAATGTTTATTGTGAATGAACCATCGTGAATAGGAACCTGCAAATACTGAAGTAAGGGCACCGTTGGGATCTGCAGACACAGTTGATTCAGGATTTGGAGGTCTGACGATGACTTCGCTTGCACTAGATGTGCTATTAGCTCTAGTGAAAGGCCTGTCACCAACATGATCCAAGCATGACGATATCGCTCTTGAAAATCGTCCGGTGCTAGTTTGTATTTAAAGTTGAGTAACTGTTGATACTCTGTTGATACTCTGGATATTCTTGTGCCCGGAAATCTGGAGGATTACATAATTAGGCAACGTTTTATAGGACCAATGGAAGTATAGATCTAGTTATTGTTTACTCTAAGCCTGACAGTGATGCATTGCCCTGTATTATGAAAGCAGGAGATTTTTTTTATAAATTCATATTAGTGTTAAACTGTTTGGGATTTAATTTCCTTAAAGAAGGTAAGTGTTCATTTACTCGTAACGATTATAGGCCCTAATGATCATCATCAAGTTGAGATATTTCAATGTGAAAATAGTTTGTACCTACATAATCCGATTTGGGGGTAATCCTTTGTCATTGAGTTTTTGTACAAGGTACTTCCTGGCACTATGGTTTGTCAGTCTTTTTCCGTTATTCTTACTCCCAGACCTGTTCATCAGACCTGACTATATGTACAAAAAAACTCTGAATATGAACTGAATAAATAACAAGCAACTGAATCTAGACCTATATAAGCACCATTCCGACATCCGAAATAATTAAAGAAAGTTATTACTTTGGGCTGAAATTATGCTCAAAAGATTAATTTTGACTTCAATTGACTAAAATTCTGAAAAGGCTACAATGTTAGGCCTAGGTGTAAGCAAGTGCAACATTACAAATCCATTGTACTACAATGTATCAAAGACGTAAGCTGACGTAAAAGGGGCGGAGTATAAGCATTTGTAAACATACAGGCTACCACTGACAAGCCGGTATCACGTCGAAACGGTACTTGGCTTCTGTAACAGTCTTTCCCGAATTAAGCTCTATTTGGAAACGATCAAACCCAACATTATTATCTGCTTTTGAAATTGCCCGGACTACACCCTTTTCCCCATCACATAGCCTTACTTTATCACCTACATTCACCTCAAACCTATCCAGTTCAGCCATGTTGACAGCAGACGATATTAAACAAATCGCACGTGGAACAAATCACGCGAGTGAAAAAAGTAGTTCGGGTCAAAGTTCACCAACCAAGTATCCGGAAGGCCATATACCACTAGTGGGATATTACTAATATTTATCCAACACCTGCCATATTTACACAATGGCCTGAGAGTGGAATAAATTAAAGTAGAACGGTAGAAATGTGGTTACATACATATTACAGTAGATTGGTAAAGGTGTTATAACGTATATCTACGAACAGCTTCAAACTTAGTGACGTAAGTAACTACAAACGTAAGAACAAATAAAAAGTTATAAATTAATATTCTGGAACATTTTCTTCATGAAGGTAATGTCACTAGAAAAGAGGTTCTTATATTGACCAGTAGAAGATTAGAGTGTGACGTTTCGATGACTACACGGTCACCTTCATCTTATAACACAACCAGTAGAAGATTAGAGTGTGACGTTTTGATGACTACACGGTCACCTTCATCTTATAACACAACCAGTAGAAGATTAGAGTGTGACGTTTCGATGACTACACGGTCACCTTCATCTTATAACACAACCAGTAGAAGATTAGAGTGTGACGTTTCGATGACTACACGGTCACCTTCATCTTATAACACAACCAGTAGAAGATTAGAGTGTGACGTTTTGATGACTACACGGTCACCTTCATCTTATAACACAACCAGTAGAAGATTAGAGTGTGACGTTTCGATCATTACACGGTCACCTTCATCTTATAACACAACCAGTAGAAGATAAGAGTGTGACGTTTCGATGACTACACGGTCACCTTCATCTTATAACACAACCAGTAGAAGATTAGAGTGTGACGTTTCTATGACTACACGGTCACCTTCATCTTATAACACAACCAGTAGAAGATTAGAGTGTGACGTTTCGATGACTACACGGCCACCTTCATCTTATAACACAACCAGTAGAAGATTAGAGTGTGACGTTTCGATCATTACACGGTCACCTTCATCTTATAACACAACCAGTAGAAGATAAGAGTGTGACGTTTCGATCATTACACGGTCACCTTCATCTTATAACACAACCAGTAGAAGATTAGAGTGTGACGTTTCGATCATTACACGGTCACCTTCATCTTATAACACAACCAGTAGAAGATTAGAGTGTGACGTTTCGATCATTACACGGTCACCTTCATCTTATAACACAACCAGTAGAAGATTAGAGTGTGACGTTTCGATGGTTACACGTCACCTTCATCTTATAACACAACCAGTAGAAGATTAGAGTGTGACGTTTCGATGGTTACACGTCACCTTCATCTTATAACACAACCAGTAGAAGATTAGAGTGTGACGTTTCGATGATTACATAGTCACCTTCATCTTATAACACAAGTAGAAGATTAGAGTGTGACGTTTCGATGATTACAAGGTCACCTTCATCAGAGAAATGACCAGTGTGGAGGGTACTAGCACTTCTATTCCGTAATGAACTAATGTGTACGAAAATGAAACATTCTATCTTATTCTGAATTATGTAAGTAACCTTTCTTCGTCAAAAGTTACCAGATAAATAAATACTTTATCAGAAAAGCCCTCTACTTGATATCTGTATTACATTAGATATTTAATACTGTCAACTAGCACAATCAGCAAGGTGTATTGATTTCTATTATTCGAGAATGATAAATCTTCATTGTGTGGATCGTTATTGGTTGACATTATAATATAGATGCTAGATTAGTCAAATATCTAGATTCCTAGTCTCATACTCTAATACTAATAAAACACGTATAAAAATATTTTCACATTTTCTAATGAACCATATTGTGGTTTGAAAGGATTAAAACACTTGGAAATAATAGAAAACCACCAACATACACAAATGTCATATTCTAACAAATACTGCATCAATCAACGATTGATAAACATTGACAAAAGCAACTGCTTGGCCTTCCGAATAAAAGTATTAGCTTTCTCATAAAAGGCAAACAATTTTGCAGACTACGGTATCTTTAAAAATGTAAAACAATGATTTGATCCTAATAGAGACAGATTCTATGAAAACCTACCGGGAATATCAAGCAGCTCAGACCACCTATAAATTATCAGTAATGGATTAGTTGTTAGCAAATTGGTGCCACGTCAAATATTCCATAATTGCTAGGGATCATAAATCGGTAGGTCTAAGTATTCTAGTATGCAGCGTCAATTATAATGGTCAGTTATTGACATCTTTGAAAGGCCTCAATGTTCAGATTTTCGCCCCAGAGATAAACCACAAGGATTCAGAATTGAATAATAGATAAGCTTACGGTTTGCATAATACATTAATGTATTAAGATAATTCCCATGATCGCTTCACTCAATCTACAAATGGATTTCATTGGTCAATAATCGAAATTTAATTGAAATTTTGTGCATTTAACTTTTAGTAGTTAACGTATAAAATGATGAATCATTAAGGGGTATATAAATCTAGTAAACAGCTGGGCACGGCTTCTCAATAAAAAATGAAGACGGCAAAGCTACTGGTGCAAGACAAACAACTCGCCTAGTTTCTTTGGGTACAATTTCGTTTGAGTTGTTTCTTCACCGTAATAACTATGGCCGTTGGTAGAAGAATTAGTTCAGTATTTGTCTTCTGTAATTACAAGGTGAAAACAACGGGGTTTTAACCAGAGTAGAAGTATAGATATAAACACCGTCACATACTGTGCATAGTACTGTAAACAATGAAGTGGTTTATCTGTGTTCTGCATAGTGTTCTTCATATTAGAATTGAATCAGCAGCAATGCAGGAGACGATATTCACAACTTTTTGTGGCGAAGATGTGTCTGTTTTTTCTGAAATGAACCAGACAGTACAGGTCAACTCCGCTATAGAATGTGCAAGAAATTGTATACATATGGCGCCATCTATCGGCGGTATTTGCGAGGCAATTAATATATGTTATGAGAACTCGGATTCTATTTGTGAACTACTTTTTACACCAGTGCATGGAATTGATATAGTGTATGCAGTGCCCAGACACGGATGTGTGTTTTATGGTCGAAAGAATGGGAACATTACGTGCTTAAATGATTTGGATATTGCAAATGGGAGCAGTTTGTCTCCGTGCTCTTCTGACGGAATAACGGACAATACTTTACATGAAAATTCTGTTGATCCAAGTGGTAGTTCTTCACAAGGAACGACAGACCGAACTACACATGGAAACTCTGTGAATACAAGTGGTAGTTCTTCACACGGAACGACACCTCAAAATCAAAATGAAAACGGTATGTTATTTTCAAAAGAAATTAAGGAACATGGATGCAAATATCGCCACCTTAATGAACCTGAAAATTTTATTTTGTTCTATTTTCGATATTCCGTAACCCCGGTCTACCACATGCAATATCGAAGCTGTATGATTAGATTTCTTCATTGTGATGTTTTGTTTTCTGTTCACCCATGTGGAACAGCTGGCCATTCTATCCTGTGTATGTCTTTCATTTGTTTCTCTTTTGCCCTAGTTTGAACGAATTGGAATTGGAGTTAAGATTGATTATATTTAGGTATTTGTTCAGCATGGCATTTATAGAACCTTCAGACGACAGAAAAATAACTTTCTTATGTTTCTAAACGCTGTTAGGAAAAGCATTAAAAATAGCATTCATACTTGCATACTAGCATTGGCCTCATTTCAGTAGGTAATAATTTACAAAACCACTATACATAGCTCAGGTGGTCCTCCTGAAAAGCAACTGTGCCTGCCTTTCAAGAATTTGAGGCTTTTCCCGTCCTGGTAAAAGAGGGGTAGGTCCGGACAGTCACGATACATTGTGTGTTCAGAAAGCCGACATCTTTCATGCCCAAACAGCATTGTGATTTTCCACCTACCTAAATTCAATATACATGTATAACATTATCTAAATTCTGTACTATAGATTTACATGATAGGTATCATCGATTATGTCTAGACAAAACCTTCCAGAAGACCAGGTGTCTTTATACTTTTCCAGAGTTACCAATCTAATATGTAAATGATTTTACTTGCATTTAATAGTTTAAATATTTTTGTTTTCACATAAAACAGAATTAATCAATTAGGAAAATATTTTTAGCTATGATGTGGCCAAAAGGAATGTTCACATTGCTGCAGCCCACTACCGGCTGTCCTAATGGGTGGTCCACAGGATTGATCCAATTCGAAATGCAAACCAACGGGACTAGCTATCACGCTAGCAATTACCTGAAAGGTAGGAGTTCTAATTGAACGGAAATATGCATCTAATGTGGCTTTGCACTAATTGAATTATTCCAACATTCTTTCAACTTCATGCTGTCCATAAGCGTTAGAACCCTCAACAAGCGATCAGCGGGATCAGTCGGGATTCAAATTGTGTAATTAAATTGTCACTTCGTCATACATGTCACACGGGCTTCTATATTTTGCTAAGAATAATTGATTCTAAGTTTGTTTAGATAAAATAGTATGGGCATATGCTATATGTCATGTCTAATAGAGATTAAAGACAATGATTTTGGTTCATGAAATAAAACTTATCCCTTTGTCTTTGACACTACTGATCTTTCTCATTTTTTTCATTAGCAACTTGTATTGAATATTTATGAAAGTCATACATATATGCCAACATAAGTAATACATTAGTCTATTACTTACGTAAGTTTGGCTAAATAATAGTTTGCCACTCTTAATAAGCTTGAAAATAGAATATAGTGCGGTGATATGAACATCAATGTAACTACGATGTTGACATCGGCAGCAAACGGTTGTCCGAACACAATACTTGTAACTACGGTTGACCATTTTCTAAGATGGAAAAGTAATAAAACATCAGTCAAAACATGAATTGTAGGCACCGTGAACAACAATCTGGTACAGTGGCACTTCTGTACAAAGACATCCCAGGACGGATTAGAGGATTGGCCAGAAGGAGCGTATTGTATACTACGGCACGGCGGTACTTGTCCGACCTGTACGTAAGACTTTGTACTAGTGTGATACGCAATTTCTCATATAGCAGCCCATCCTTTTTAGTACTACTCGTGTTGCAAATAGCATTGATGTACGGACAGATACTTTATATTTTTTCCCCATTGTAATGTACAGTGTTCAATATCTACATGGTTATGTAACCATGTTTTTGTCTTCAATTAGCAATGTACAGTGTTCAATATCTAAATGGTTATGTAGCCATATTTTTGTCTCCAATTAAGATTTCTTTTTTGTGTTTCTTTTACAGACTTTATATCTGGAGTAGTTGCTTTTGACGAGGAAGACGATGGAAATATCAACAACAGATTACATGATGGTTCACTTCCGGATATAGATAGCAGATTCGATGATACCGCTCTTCTATTTTGTTGCAGGTAAACAGTCGGCATCAAAAGCACTATATATTAACGGCCTTTTAGAACTTTAGTGCATACTGCAAATTGTTGAAAATAACTTCGCACACTGCGAGACAGTTCGCTTCACTACATAGAAACCAATTAACTCTTTGTATCCTCCATGATGTGTTCAACATGTTCTCTAATCAGTGGGCAAATTAGAACAAGACTAATGCCTTCAGCATTATGTGGTATAACTGTATTCTTCAGCAGTTGGGTAAATAACATATGGTATTTGATTAGCATCAACTCTATAAGACAATGCTGTTAGATCTCATAAGAATATGTTTTTTCTTCTGTCTTGTAATTGCAGCATGGGCACTATCATTATCAAGCAGAATATCAATCGATATCACCATATATGTCTTCTTATATCTGTTGTCTAAATAACATTTGCATTAATATTCTGGATGATGAAGATGAACAGATATATATTAATTAATTACAGGAATGACGGTTCTGCAAGTTCAACGAACGTGACACTCCCGATTTCTGACCCTTTTTATTTGTTTCCTTACTACAACGGTGATTGTCCAGTTGTCCCTGGTATGAACATCGTCGAAGAATTCACCTATTTTGATTGCGAAAATACTCAAAACATAAACTTCGTCGCAGGTGCGACGCCACTCGATGTAATAGCGTCAAACCATAAGATTAATTACTGTTATTACTACCAATAGATATTGTAGCACATTTATTTCATAACATTTCAAATGATTTGAAATTTGATCTATATAGTGACAATGTCCTGTAAAAAATCAACCAAATTGTAGTATTTTGGAAACTTTGAGTTACTTCCCCTGTTACGATATTCGTGTTGCTCAAATGTGAGTTTTATTCAGTGAAGGAAATAATTAGTGTGTAATCAGTATGGCGTACACAAAATGTAAATTATCTTTTGTAAGAAAACAGTTTAGGAGAGGTATTTGGTAATAATGGTACCATGGTTTATTTTGCTATAATCGAAAGTAAACAATTTAAATGAAAAACAAACAAACAAATTTAATAAAACATACACACATAAAATCTACTATGTAGACCTTGATATCCAAATCCACTCTTTTAATTCCAATCCTCATAGAAAAGATAGAACTACAGGTCGGGGTGGTGGGATTGTAGTTTATTATAAGGATACTGTTGTTGTGAATAGGCGAAGGGATTTGGAAAGGGATGATACTGAACTTTTATGGTCTGAAGTATTAATTCATAATCACAAATTTCTACTAGGTTGTCTATACCGACCAGAAATTAATATTGATTACTGGACTACATTAGATGATACACTGACCAGTGCTACAGATACTTGACGTGACATGTTACATATACCTTTAAATGGCCATTTATCAAAGCTTCTTATTAAACATAACTTATCTAGTCTTATAAATGAACCCACAAGAATAACATCTTACAGTGCAACTTCCATTGATGTTATCTTCACTAATAACCAAAATATAGTTAAAAATACTCATGTGTCTCCACCATTTTGTAGTGACCATTACTCAGTAAATGCTTCCATTTCTTATTCCGTATTCAAAAAAGTGAACTATAAAAAAATATTCTAAGATATGAAGAAGCATACTTTGACAGCATGAATAATGCTCTTACTAATATAGATTGCTTGAACCTGTCATTAATCCAGGACTCAAACACATTCAGTAGTACTACATGTATAGTCAATGCCATTGCAGATCAGGTCAATAGTTTCATTCCTACACAAATAATAACTGTGCGTCCTAATGATAAACCATGGATGGATAACACTATTAGATTAAAAATGAGGCAACGTAATAGAATTCACAGAAAAGTTTAACTAGGAAATACTCCTCATTATTGGGAAAGATTTCGAACTCTACGGAACGAGACTATTGACCTGATTCGTGAGGCAAAGGCAAACTACGTAAACAAATAGAAAATTCACTTCATGATAATATTACTCCAGATAAATGGTGGAAAATTGCTAAATCTATTACTAATCTCTCTAATAAATCTTCAGCAATCACCCCTCTTTACTCAAACAACAAGTTAATTCATCACCACACAGACAAAGCTGAACTTCTTAATAATCACTTTACTAATATTTCTACATCATCACCTAACCTTGAATTACCTCAGAAAGCACATCCCGATACCCCTACTCACTTACAAATATTCATGTCACTGAACAAGATGTCTCTGACCAAATAAATATTCTTAATACTAATAAACCTCCTGGCCCTGATGGTGTTATTCCTAAAGTTGTAAAAAACCTTCATGCCTCTCTCAAATTACCTCTTATGCTCCTTTTTAATAAAACATTAGAATCAGGACTGATACCTAATAAATGCTATATATAAGGGTAATGGTTCATCTAATGATGTTTTAAATTACAGACCAATTTCCATAACTTCATGCTTCTGTAAATTAATGGAAAAATAATTTTTAAATATCTTTTTAACTATTTGTCTGAAAATAGCATACTTACAAAGCACCAATCTGGCTTTATACCTGATGATTCTACTGCTAATCAGCTCCTGTTTATTTATAATGAAATAGTTAGTAACATGGATAAAGGAAAGGAGCTTAGATTTGTTTTTTGTGATGTCAGTAAAGCTTTTTATAGAGTTTGGCATGAAGGTCTTTTACATAAGCTCAGATTGTAATGTATCCATGGAAATTTACTTCAATGGTTTGAAAGTTATCTTTCTGACAGAATGCAAAGAGTAAATACTGAAGGTTATTTTTTACAGTGTAAACATCAGGGGTACCCCAGGGATCTGTACTTGGACCTCTGCTATTTCTTCTTTATATTAATGATATCACTAATAATGTTTCTACAAATATCAAACTTTTTGCAGATGACACTTCCTTATATGTAATAATAGATGACAATCTAGCACAGGCAGCACAAACTCTTAACACAGACCTAACTAACATTGGTGAATGGGCACAATCTGGGACATAAATTTCAACCCTAACAAAACCACATCAGTTACCTTTTCTAGAAAACAGTACACAAATCACCCACCAATATACTTTCAAGATAATCAAATCACAGACACTTCAACACACAAGCACTTAGGACTAACACTTCAAGATAATGCCGCATGGAATCAACACATTCAGAATATATATATAAATAAGCTTACAACAGACTAAACATTCTTCGCCTTGTGAAAACAAAAGTTAATAGCAAGTCACTAATTAAAATATATGTAGCATTTATCAGGCCACTATTAGAGTATGTGGATATAATTTGGGATAATTGTGCACAACAAGACAAAGATCTTCTTGAATCCATACAACTTGAAGCAGTAAGAATCATTACTGGATTGAGATCTGGGACTTCACATGAAAAATTATACAATGAACTGGGTTGGGAAACACTAGCGGTAAGAAGAAACAAACACAAACATATAATGATATAAAAAATTATACATGCACAGACACCACAATATTTACAAGAAATCTTAGATCCCTTAATTAATATTCAAAATAATAACCCCTATCCTCTCAGACAAACCAGGCTTTTTAACCCACCTCTGTGTAGAACCAATACTTACTTCGAAAGCTTCTTCCCTCACATGTGCCGCACGATTAATAACTCTAATACTGATTTCTTAAACTTTCCCTCTATTGCATTTTTGAAAAACAACTTGAATAAAAATATAGAATCTGATAGTAGATCTGTTATGATATTTAAAACAGAAGGTAACAGAAGGGCTAATATTATTCTTTGTCAGTTAAGAAACTCCCGTAGTAACCTAAATCATGATTTATACAGAGATCACCTTACTAACAGTCCTACATGTACCTGCTCTGCTGCAAATGAATCGGTGTCTCATTACTTTTTGGAATGCCCTTTGTATGATAACCAAAGAATCTCTATGTTTAATTCTCTCGTCAATTACAACAATCATAATCATATAGATTTAAATATTCTTCTTCATGGCTGTCCAGCTTGTGATGAGCCTACAAATAAAATAATACTTGAGGCTGTTCATACTTTTATTGGTAAGTCGCGTCGTTTTATCTTTTATACAATTTAGAACGCCAAGATGTATGCTTAAGTCAACATGTTAGATAATATATTATCAATTACTTTTAAAAACAACTGTGTAAAATATTAATTGAGCATGTCTGCTGATGAATAATGTATAATGATATTTCTTGTACAAAAGAATAATTCTGCTAATATTAATTTATCAATAGTTGGTATACATATATAAGCACAGTACATATAAATCCTTTCAATCAACTAATTGATGACAGATGTCACCATACATTTTCATGCACATGGACATTTGGTCAAACTGTCAATAACATATTTCTTAAATATATGTACTAATTTCTATTTATTATACCTAAAAAATATTTAGTATACCTACAGTATGTGTGTATGAGCGAAAGTAGGATGAAAATTAAATACTATGTATTACCTCCCTTTACTGTTGTAAGTGTTACCTCCCTTGCATTTGTTGTTTTTCAGTTCTAATTACATGTGTTCTACTTCTAGCCACTTCAATGTTTGAAGAGAATTTACATAGGTCTTGTTTGTTATTCAATCCAATTTGACGTTTACATCTTGTCAATAAAATTTGTTGAAATTAAAATCTACTACAACAACTGTCTTTCGAGATAGTCATTTCCGGAGACGGTTTCGTATTTAGTGTCAGTCTTCGGAAATGGGACAAATGAAAACTTTCTGAATATTTGCTACATGCTACGCAGTGTTGCGACTTTTGTGATGTGATCGAGTCGCGTTATCGTGTACAGCGGTTTATTGTAGGGCCTTATTATCATTTTTGTGACATTTCCTAAATCAAAAATATCATGAATGATAAAAATCATCGTGAACAAGTCTTAATCTAGGAAATCGTGGATTTGATGAGCTATATATTTAGTGAATTAAGCTCACTTGAATTTGAGTTTACAATCATTAGACCATCGTGGACTGGAAACGATTCTTCGTTGAACTGAACTTGGAAATCCTAGAATCCATGATTCTACGGGCCACAAAATGTGAGTTATTTGCTATTGGTAAGTAGTTGATTATGTATAAATATCCAGACAATAGATGACGGAAATCGTGCTATGGCAATGGTTTGTTTGCCATAATAGCCAGTGATGGAAAAGGACTGGAACCTTTGTGTCAAGTCATTATATTGGCATGGCTCTTTCATCAGTCTGTACGTTTGTCAGAATGTACTGCTGTTATATATCAATCGACGGCGTCAAAGATGGAGCAGATGGTTCTAAGGGGACCTTATTTATCCCCGGGTAGACGGTCAGTGTTCCTGTAACAAAACAATATCTTTAACGGAAAGGCAACAATCCAAGAAAGGTCTCAAAGCTACTTCAGTGTTAAGTGTATAAGGACGATCGTGGTAATTGGTGAAGGTGTTGTTAATGTGGTGCCCCTCTGATATGTATCTTCAACTTAATACTATTATGTACGGAAATGTATAATGACTGGATCCGGTAAGGATCGGTGATATTTAAAATTTCATGTTTGCCGTGATAGAAATATAAAAAAACATCTGTTTTCGAGCTGAACCATAAACAACAAACATGATGTGTTTAAATTACATCTGTAAGTACTTTCTATAATATTTCAGGTGTATTTGTAATGACATATAGAGGAAATCACCATTAACAGGTCAAAGACATATCAATATTGCTTTACCTGGTTCTTCATCTCCAGTCAGACTGATTTTTGCGTGATCTGAATGAGGAAAACAGCTATTTACTGTGATAGAAATGGCACTTTTAAGAAGTAACAAAACAGTTTTAATAATGGTTGTAAATTACAGAAGATGATTATGCCGTTTGTTTAAATCAGAAAGAATCCACATCATTCCATTGGTTCAGAAACTACCAGTTCTTTATCAAGATAACATACTTATATAATTGTCAGTTTGATCAAGCGCTCTGAATGCCGCCTGGATTCCTATAAAAAGAGTATATGTCAAACTATGATTATATACCACATGACACTAGTGATTTTGCATATTCCATATTTGTGTATCATTGCAGCGTTGTTCATTTCAACCTGCATTTGATATGTATATACATGTATATATATCTGAACATTGTAACACAGTCGTCGACGAAAGACAACTTTTTACTCCTGCCCTGTTATTGCTCGTGTGTATTTAAATGAGCACCTGAAAATAGTAATAATTAAAACCACTTTAAAATGTTATTACCATATATATGTGCCCCACCTTTATAATAAGCTATGACAACATATTTTGTTTACATCATCAAATCTTACCTGGTTTATCGTCGCCCCTATTTAGCAACTTTTCGTCATAAACCTTCATCGCTGATACTAAACGATTGTACAAAAGACACACAAATTGATGAACAAATGCAAACAATACAGGATTAGTTCCATAAAATTTGAAATAAAAATTACGCACATGAACCTGCAATGTTTAATAGGGTATGATATATCAATATAGATCAGTTTTACATAAGACACCAAAGTGAGAAGCACCCTTCAAAAACATATTTAAACATAAACAGAGTAGAGACAAATAAAGAATGACCTTCATCATTAGTCCTTCTAAAGGCCTAAATTATTAACACAGGAAAATAAAATCTCTCCCAAGATTCAATAGATTCAATAACAATATTAAAATGAACAGTTAAGGTGTGTATTCTGATCCGTGTAAAAACAATAAAATATATGCAGTACTTGTAAATTACTGAAACTTAATAGTTTTTATATTTTTATGTCGCGATAACATAATCATCAAGAGACCTTTATAACTTACCCGATTTATCATTGGTGGGCGTTTCTTTCCGCCTTTTCCGGATAACCACACTCAGCAATAAAGTTAATGTGATGATTACAATGCTCATGACCACAATAACGATTATCAGCTCACTGGCAAAGGGAGCAAAATCGCAAAATAGCGAATATCACACACAAACCATACCTGACACACAAAGATATTTCATCACATGTAATAAAAACGAAAATAAAGTAATGGATGACCAGGTCCCACTTGTATAAAACATCTCAACGTGAGATTTCCTCAAGTCGAGATTTTCCTCAGCTAATATTTCCTTGAAAATATCTTGTATGAAAATTCCTCAAGGAATTTCAGGACATCCTTGAGAAAATTTTATACAAGCCGTTTTTGAGGAGATATCAGCTGAGGAAAATCTCGACTTGAGGAAATCTCAAGTTGAGATGTTTTATACAAGTGGGGCCAGAGGCCCATACGACCTCCTCATTTGATAGCAGTTTTTTTGTTAGATATTAAGATTTGCTATAAGCGCAAATACCATCTTTACAACATAAGTTCGTTATGTACATTTATTCGATGTATATACCTTTATCATTTCTCGTAAAACATTAACAAAGTTTTGATTCTATTTAGAAATCTTACTGTTACATTCTTAAACTTAACACATCAATGACCAAGTTAAGGTCACATTTATTTATCCAGTACGTGTAATTCACTGTAACAAAAAAGTACTAGATTTGGTGGAGCCCTTACGATACTCTTGTGTTGTTTGAAGAACAGGTGATGATATTGCTGAAATGGGTAACTTTTCAAGATTGGTGAATGAATAAAAAGCGATGACTGATATGATGTTTGTTCCTGTTAATATTTCAGTTAAAAAATGACCTTCAACATAATCTTAATCCAGCCTCAAAATCGATGACACAGAGATTCCTGCAAAAAGTACAATAAAACCAGATGTATCAGAACGGTAATCGTCCTTGGCTCCATCACGGACACCCACACTATAAGTTTTGACAATATCAAGTAATTCATGTCATAATCCTAAAGATGAGAACAATGTAAATAGTAACGGAATCACAAGGCACACAAATCACGTCTACGTCCAACCTAGGTATATGTAACACTGAAGTGATCAAATCAAACAGGATGTTGATGTATCGATATTCACCGATCATTCTTATATCCATCTCTATTAGACTTACTCTACAACATACATGGATATCAATCTTTCCCTCCCTTTAGATACCTGTTTTTGTATCTCTCAACGTCAATCGAATCTTTTCCCAGTGGATTTTTCAATTGAATGTCTGCAACAAAGTAAGCATTTGTTTCGAGTACTATCTCATTTTATGTTTTATTCATCATGTTTCGGCAATTTTCAAGCAATTCTACATTATTGAAACTGTTGAGATTAATAAAATTCTAGGTTATATGAAAGATGTTGGTCTATATTATAAATTATGACTTACCATTTTAATATTTTGTGATAATATAACCATTTCAGATTTTTAGCATTTGTCTTTTACCTTTTAGTTTGTTTGATGTTTTTTTCCCCTTTTTGTATCGCTGTGTGGTGCACCTACTGATGGCCCTAATGACCTGTTATGTGTTGATGGGCCGTTAAGAATGTAATAATAATAATAATCTACAGACATTCTTTAAATGATGATTTTCATAACAGAACTTTAGTCGTTATTAAATAATCACTTGGTCCATCCTTTTGTCAATACGGCGAAATGAAATATAGAATCCTGGAGCAGTATTATAAAATCGAGAAAATACCAACATGGCAACGTAATCGTAATCATAATAGGACAAGATATGAACAAAAATAAAGATTTACACGAAGACTCCTGAAAAAGTTCAAGGAGAATAAGACCAGGTGTTCCGGGAGAGTAAAAATCCGCCATGAAAACCTTGGTCAATTAAAGTAAATAATGTCACGTTCTCAAATGGAAAAGAAAGATAGAGAAACAAGCAAATCCATGGAATTTATATCCCCCGCTTTCCAAACATATTGTAAGTATATATTTTAGAGTTTAGGAATAAACATGTCATAATGCTAGGTAGAATGATATAGTTTAATGATAAACTGATAATATTTGTGGGACTTCAATTTACATCTAAATCAGATTATATTTAGGAAAGTTAGAGCACAAAAACTGACCGACCAAAGAAATGGAAGGATACCTAATTAGTATGCATAGATATTAACTAGCTAATTGCTAAACTCAGTCTTATGTGCCCTAATATGCATCTGCTGACCAAGTTTCATCTAAATCGGATTATATTTAGGGAAGTAAGAGCACGGATATGAACAGACCAATGAAATCAAAGGATACCTCATTAGTATGCATACTTATTCACTGATGACACTGATAGTCAAACTCAGTCTTAATGACCCCAGGATGCATCTACTGACCAAGTTTCACCCAAATTGGATGATATTTGGGGAAATTAGAACACGGAAACGAAAGTGTGACAGCAGACGGACGGACGGACAAACCCAAATTAATATCCCCCGTTTCGGTGAAAGCGGGGGATAAAAATGAAGTTTTCTGCGGGAGCGAAAAACATTGAGGGTGAATGTTCTTCATGTATAGTATGCATAAATGTGGCTCTCATCGAGTATAGTTACCATAAAATTATTTCTGTCGTGTATTGTTTTCTTTTGTCAAGGGTAAGACTACTGAATTAATAAGAAAGTGCGTCCATTTTACCAACTTTAATCTCACCTTCAGTTCCTTCTGATTCTTTGATATTTGTTTGCCAACCATTTTCTTTATGAGCTACAACAGCCTGCGGCACAATGTCCGTGGTTGTCACAGTTGAGGTTATGGTTGATCGCTTTCCACATACTGTGTCCATTGTGGCGTTCCCAAACAACACAGTTTCCGTGTTGTTCTGTGTACAACTATAACACAAAAATATTGATCAATGTTTATGATAAAATCCGGTTTATACATCATTGGCGATAATTGTTCTTATGTATGAAAATTAGTCAAGGTCTACGCTCATTGAGTTTGCTTTTACATTCACAATTACGTAAGTACTTGGGCTTCTTAAAATCTTTCTATACAAATACGCTGTCAATAAATATTCTATTTCACGTTAACAAACGCAAAAATATTATTTCAGTGATCCGAAACAGTTCAATGTATTGCCTCTCGCATTATATATCAAAACATTATTCAGCCAATGGAGAGGACATATCCGCACAAGAAGTATAACACAAAAATACGCAGGTGGATAGCATCTTTCACAAATTCAGACTCAGATACCGTATAACCGATTACGAATTAAACTGAATCATGCAACTCTTTTGTCCTATTATGACGCGACAATGATTCAAGGCACGAAAACAACACAGATGATACAAAACACGACAACATAAGTAAACTTCAAACTCGATGATACTCGCCGATAAATTCTGTCAGCCGAGAGAATGGCACTATTTGTTTCAATAGGTATGTCAATAGTCTGTTGGGAGATCTTACATTCAAACCTTAGGAGATGACTTTGTAAAAAATGCACAAAAATGTTTATCTGGTTAAATTATAGTTATTCTCGTCATTGTTGTCCATAAATTCTTTCAGAACGATAAATTCTTCAGCAAACGTGTGTCTGAATTTGATGCAAACGCGATGTGGTGAGAGTAATGTTAGAATTGATTACTTGGTGTGAGATTTACAGGAGAGGTAGCTTCGCTCAGGATTAAACGTTCCGACGGGACAAACACTACATGTGCCATCTGGAAATGAAACAAAACTGAGATTTGCCATATATTTAACAGACAAAACGTCCCATAAATAGACGGAAGAAGAGAGGACATTTATTTGGGCAACAATGCACCGGCATGCATATGTTAGTACGACTAAGCCATTTTTCCGTTTTCAAATTTCCATCTAAGTATATCAACGAATTAAGTGCACGAAGAAATACTAAGCAAAAAATAAAAATGTAACAGCATAAAACGAATAGTAGTAACAATGGCAAGAATTCATATCATCTTCGGAATAACCAGCAACTCCCGTTTGGCAGGAGTTATTTCAGTACGAAATCATTGGCAACTTTTTCTTACTTCTTGTATAACTGCTACTAAAGATTTCGTAATGAAAACAGACTCTCAGCCGACCACAACGATATTATTTTGATTTACTTCATTATTCAATGCATTTACGCTTGATTTCAGGGGTTCTTAAATAAACGTATTATACATTCATTATGAATTCAGTGAGGCAAAGAGGATATCGCGTACTTTCAATATCAAACCCTTTTCCGGGTGGGCATTTGGGGTATTTCAGACAAAGCATGGGGTCCTTTCCGACATATCCACGCGACGTATCACATTTACAATCGATTCCATCTTCAAGAGTTGGTACAGCTTCTAAACAAACAAAAGTTGTGTTATTTCGAAGTTGAGGTAAATCACTTTACAAAAACATACAAGACAAATTATTTATTATGATAGCGCTCATTACACATCGGAAATAAACTCTCTATCTCCAAGAAATGGTCGAAAGATTTGATATTACAGAAATGTGCGACTTTGTAAGGATTATTTATTGGTTTGCATCTGATTAGGATTTCTGATGTAGACTATAACAGATACGTCTAAATGATCTACACTACATATTGATTACGAAGCATTGTGATTAGGATTTCCGATGTAGACTATAGCAGATACGTCTAAATGATCTACACTACATATTGATTACGAAGCATTGTGATTAGGATTTCCGATGTAGACTATAACAGATACGTCTAAATGATCTACACTACATACTGATCACGAAGCATTGTGATTAGGATTTCCGATGTAAACTATAACAGATACATCTAAATGATCTACACTACATATTGATTACGAAGCATTGTGATTAGGATTTCCGATGTAGACTATAACAGATACGTCTAAATGATCGACACTACATATTGATTACGAAGCATTGTGATTAGGATTTCCGATGTAGACTATAACAGATACGTCTAAATGATCTACACTACATATTGATTACGAAGCATTGTGATTAGGATTTCTGATGTAAACTATAACAGATACGTCTAAATGATCGACACTACATATTGATTACGAAGCATTGTGATTAGGATTTCCGATGTAGACTATAACAGATACGTCTAAATGATCGACACTACATATTGATTACGAAGCATTGTGATTAGGATTTCTGATGTAGACTATAACAGATACGTCTAAATGATCTACACTACATATTAATTACGAAGCATTGTGATTAGGATTTCTGATGTAGACTATAACAGATACGTCTAAATGATCTACACTACATATTGATTACGAAGCATTGTGATTAGGATTTCTGATGTAGACTATAACAGATACGTCTAAATGATCTACACTACATATTGATTACGAAGCATTGTGATTAGGATTTCTGATGTAGACTATAACAGATACGTCTAAATGATCTACACTACATATTGATTACGAAGCATTGTGATTATGTTCTTTGATTATATTTAAGGAAAGGATACAACCGTTAAGGCCGTGCTATTCCGTCAATATTTGAACAAATACAATATGTAACGTGCACCCTATGGTAGCGCGCGTGCACGCCGGGTCTCTCAATTTAGACAGAGCTACCTGCTCCGGAAGCTATTGGAATTCCTCAGCTACCTGGCTGAGCAGTTGAAAATTACTCAATTTAATAAACAATATATCTATACACTACAACAGAGAAGGACAGTACCTCTGTCCACCATGTCACCATACACGAGCCAACAATGTGTCCGCGGTACGTATCACGTCGCCTAGGCGTATGTTGCCCAACAAGGCTACCACACACCGCAACACTAACAGACTGTCAGCACTACAACACTGCAAGCACGTCCCTTATTACTGAGCCGACCACCGTACAGCTCCGACGTCGCCTGCCAGTGTCCTGTTATTATCACAGTACAAAGTGTTGTGCCAAGTACTGTATCAGTAGTCAGGCGTACCAGAGTAGCCTTTGCAGGCAACCCCTTTTCAGGAGATTCTGGCGTACCTGACACGTCAACGTACTGGCACCGACCACACGTAACAATAACTGTTACCAGAGCTGCCTTATTCAGGCAACCCCTTACTCAGGAGCTTCTGGTAACAGTATAATTGAACTGTGTGCTATAATACTTTATTACCTGTGATATAGCCGACCTTCTTCCGTCTGTCAAAATCTTCTTTTTGTTTACTGGTTTCAACCAGTATTTACATAAAATCTTATGTATTATTCTGGGTGTCTCCAGTATTTTCCTTCTCAATTAATACAGCACCAAAACCCACAAATACGCAAGACAAATGTTTTTATTTATTTATACAGGTATGATTACACATTTAGTAAACACTAGTTTCATGAAAACATAAGTCAATCATCGATAATTAAAATAATTAGGTAGGTGGGGAATGATACAAAACAGGACGTATACAAAACGTTACATGAAGGGAGATAACTCTAACTGAATAAAATCGTCACACTTCCCCCTCCTTAAGTCGATGCGTCCCGCATGACAAATAGAACATTTAAAGACTATCTAAAACACCGATGATCACACTAACAGTCTCCAATATGTAATAAAATTACAACTTTCAGTAGGTCTGAAGGACACAAACACTTCCGTCCACATTTCTTCAATCATCTAACAGTCCGCATACACCACAGGAGGTCTCCGTCTCATGCATCTCAACCAGCTCGATTTCCCTATCTCCTTCTGTGTACCTTGTCGTTTTCCAGACCACATGCCTCTCTATAACTGGCTTTGTCTGAGTAGACACACTCGCCATCGCCTTTGACACCCTAGGAACTTGATGGAGATTGGTAGGAGGCCTCTCTACCCTTGGGACTTTCCGTGGGATACAATTCCTGGGATCCTTGGGACTCAATTTCTCTGGCGCCCGTTTAGGGGTGAACACTTGATCTGGCCGTGTATGCTTCCTCACCGTTGGATCAGGGATGGCCTCTACATCAGGTTCCTCGCCAGCAGCAGACTCATCATGGTCTTCCCCATTGTCAGAGTCCGACACATCACCTAGGATGCTAGCAAGATCACCAGGGTCATTGTCTTTCCACGAGTCTTCCTCCTCTCTCACTGTAGAATAGCTACCTCCTTCACGTGAGGGTCCCGGCTGTGCCGTCTGTTCTACACTGTGTCTTCTCTTCGTGTGCCGGAGAAGATTGCTTGCCGAGGTGGTAGCAAATGGGCATTCTTCACATACGAAGGATTTCTTCTCCATTTCCTTCAGACCACACATGAGAATATGCTCCTTCATCCTTTCAATATCTACACTAGTGAATGCACACATGGGACATTTCTGTTCCTTCCTGTGAGTGGTCTTTGTCTTCACCATCTCTACAACATACAAAAAAGGGAAGAAAGGATTCAGATGATGTATGAAAATGGTTCACAACTTACAAAATCAGGAATACAAGAATACTATTGGTACTCTAACTAATCAAAATTAGTAACATATTCGGCCAGCCAGCGGGGTGGCCGTCTCGTACGTCGGGACGTGAATGGGTTTCCCCATTCGCCCTCACTCGCCTCGACGATTTCACAATCATCCCCAGAGGTACGGGGTATGATATCATCCCTAACAGTTTGGGGACCTTGTCCTGTGTCTTTGACCTCCCCCTCCTTAGGTTCTGAGGTACCTTTCATCGGTCCTGTGTCCGATGTTTGCTCGCCTGTTAGCTCTTGTCTTTTCTTCAGTTGCATGCGATCTACATGAACTATTTGTGGTGCACCGCGAGTCCCACACAGTACCTTGTAGGTGACATCTGAACATCTGCTTACTACCTCAAATGGTCCTCTCCAATAACTTGTAAGTTTTGAAGAACGGCCTGGTAGATACCTCGGGAAGTAAACATAGACCTGGTCTCCAGCCGAGAAGGTTTGCCAGCTGAGCTTTTGGTCGTGCCAGATCTTTTGTCGTAGCATTTCTGCATTTGTATGTTTTCTGACATGAGCATGAGCTGTCTCCATTTTTTCCTTTAGTTCCCAAGCCCATTGGTTTGTTGGAATTTTCTTTGCGTTTTGGGGTAGCTCATACATAATGTCCAGTGGCGTTGATACTTCCCTACCAAGCATAAGGGCGTTAGGGCTACTGCCAGTAGTTTCGTGAACTGCAGATCTATATGCCATAGTAACAAAAGGCAGATGGTCATCCCAGTCCGTGTGGTGGTCATTGACGTAGGAAGCCAGCATGGAAATCAGCGTACGATTGAACCGCTCAACCATACCATCTCCCTCCGGATGGTAGGGAGTGGTTCGAGTCTTTTTGATGTGCAATACCTCGCACATTTGTGAGAAGAGTTGTCCCTCAAACTGTTTTCCCTGATCCGAGTGTATCACCGTTGGTACGCCAAACCTAGTGACAACCTCTCTAACAATGATATCAGCCACGGTCCCTGCAGTCATGTCTGGCATTGGAAATGCCTCAGTCCATTTCGTAAAATAGTCAGACACTACTAATACATAACGATTCCCTTTGCTAGTCAATGGCAAATCTCCAAGTATGTCGGTTGCTATCCTTTCCATGGGCATACCGGCACCAACTACTTGCATAGGTGCTTTCGGAGTTTTCATCGGCCCTTTTTTTCTTGAGCACACTTCACAGCCTGCTATATATTGTCTCACATCTCTCTGTAGACCAGGCCAGAAGAAGCTTTGTCTTACCTTGCTCAAGGTCTTCTTTACTCCCAGATGACCAGAGGTCCGATGATCATGACACATCTTCAATATGCTCCTTCGCTCAGTCATTGGTACAACCGCTTGCAACGTTTTGCCTTTAGAGTCTTGCCATTTGCGGTACAGTATGTCATTCGCGACTATCAACATATCCCGTTGTGACCAAAGGGACTTCACCATTACACCACCCATGTGCACGTCTTTGGTGTTTGGTTTGGTAGTGTCCTCTACCCACTTCTTAACTAACATAATATCTGGATCCTCTTTCTGGAGCATTGACAAGGATTTTCCCCCGGTTTCATCTTGTTGCCTGTCGGACTCTTCTTGTTTGCTAGACCCAGTCTCTGTCAAGCCACCAACAGACAGTTTTGTTACCTTGTCCCATTCAGGATTGAACTTACACTTCCGACAAGGTCGCCTACTAAGTGCGTCTGCATTTGAGTGTTGGGATCCTGGTCGATGTTCGATTTTCATGTCATACATGCTCAGAACTTCCAACCATCTTGCAAGTTGGCCCTCTGGGTTCTTGAAATTTAGGAGCCAACGCAGGGAACTGTGATCTGTACGAAGGAGAAAATGTTTTCCATACAAGTAATGGCGGAAATACTTGACAAAGAAGACAACGGCGAGCAACTCTTTCCTTGTAACACAGTATTTCCTCTCTGACTTTGACAGTGTTCGACCTGCGTATGCAATAACTCTCTCGTGTCCATCCTGGACTTGGGCAAGTACACCTCCTATAGCAAGGTCACTTGCATCTGTGTCGAGCACAAATGGTTTAGTGAAGTCTGGGTATGCCAATATCGGGGACTGGCACAGCTTTGCTTTGAGGCAATCAAAGGCTTCTTGGCACTCTTTAGTCCATATGAAACGTTTGTGTTTTTCTGTAAGCCGATGTAATGGTTTGGCGATGGCAGAGAAGTCCTTGACGAACCGCCTGTAATAGCCGCACAGTCCAAGAAATGATCGGACCTCAGTTACAGTTGTTGGTTCTGGCCAATCCTTCACTAGTTGTATCTTGCCAGGGTCTGTGGAAACTCCTTCAGGCGAAATAATATGTCCAAGGAACTCAACATTTCTAGCACACAGCGTACACTTTTTCGCTTTTAGTTTTAAACCGGCAGCTGACAAACGCTGAAGTACCTTCTCCAGATTGCTTAACATTTCTCCAAAAGTTCTCCCAGTGACAATCACATCGTCAAGGTATATGAGGCAGATGTCCCACTGCAGTCCCCGCAACACGGTTTCCATCAGCCTTTCAAACGTAGCCGGGGCGTTGCACAGCCCGAACGGCATTACCTTGAATTGATAAAGGCCACGTTTGGTCGAAAAAGCAGTTTTTGGTTTAACTCCCTCCTCCAGCTCGACTTGCCAATATCCGGAGCACAAATCGAGGGTAGAGAACCAGCATGCTCCAGACAGCTGGTCAAGGGATTCATCAATCCTTGGTAAAGGGTAAGCGTCTTTGATGGTTGCGTCATTAAGGCGCCGGTAGTCCACACAAAATCTGGTACTCCCATCCTTCTTCTTTACGAGGACGACACCAGACGACCAAGGACTAGTTGAAGGTTCGATTATCCCCCTGTCCAACATATCATCAATATGCTCGTCTACGGCTTGTTTTGCATGAACCGGAAGCCTCCGAAGGGGTTGTTTTACCGGTGGATGATCACCAACGCTGATTGAATGTTTCACGACACCGGTTTTTCCAATGTCTTGATTATCCTTTGCAAAGGCATTGGAATGTCGAACTAACAATGCGCGTACCTGCTTCACTTGATTTCTAGTTAGCCCTTCACTGGTCCTGTCTAACAGATCTTGAAGTACCGGAGTTAGAGCCTCTTTTTCTTTGCTGGTTGTTTCACAAGACATAACACTGTCTATCGGTGTGAGAGACCCCACAACCGTCCCTGCATGCACCACTTTCACATCTGGAGATACATTCATAATTCGCAATGGGACTGTTTCACTATTGCTGACCAAAGTCTTTCCTACCAAAGCTCGATCAGTATCCAGGAATTTTGGTGCAGGTTCGATAATGCTAACACCCTTGGGCACAGCGGTACCAGGAGGAAGAATGACCTGTCCATAGGTAACCATCTCAGATTCTGGGGGAATGTTAAGAGTATCAGCAACAGCCACACGATAACAACCTATTCTTCCCTCACTGAGCAACTCAACCTCCTGCTGTCCAATTGCGAGTTTCCGTTTCACCACATCGACAACGCATTTTTCCTCGTTCATGAAGTCCAACCCAAGGACTCCGTCTACTGATAGTCTGGCTACCACCAGTCCCTTCTTGTACAAGTGGTTATCAATTAATACTGGTAACACTGTATGACCGCTTACTATCAGTGGTTCTCCATTCGCAGACAAAATGTCGCGGGGCACCTTTGTCAAGGGATGCTGATACCTATCTCGACTGCATATTGCCGTGAACAAACATTCAGATACCAGCGACAAAGTCGACCCCGTGTCCACTAGAAATTTTCCTTTTACTCCATGGATCTCCACATTAACATAAATTCCTGGCTCCCCAGCTTGTCTATTCACACCAGCTTGCTCTTTCTTTTTCGCACCATTGGCTTTTCCTTTCTTATTACCTTGCTGGTTATCCTTTCTCGTCTCCGGGCAATTCCTTTGAAAATGGCCTTTTTCACCACAATTGAAACATTTACCGTCAGTACCTTTGTTACGGAATTTAGGTGCTGGTCGCCAATTGCGCTGTTTAGACTCCAAGTCTGCTACTTGGGTCTTTAGGCCTGCCAGGGATTCTTGTATCTCAGTCATAACTGCAGTCAATGCTTTCATTCCCTGATCAGTTTCTTGGTCATTAGCCTCCTTCTGAGCTATGGGCCTTAAGAACCCTTGCGACTCCCTGTGTTTCTGGTCTGACTTGATGAAGGCCTCCAATTCAACGGCATGGCGTATAGCTTCATTGAGACTAGCTGGCCTGGCTTGTTTAATCCGCAATCTCATGTCCGAGTCTATCAAGGCGTCAATGAACTGTTCTTTTGCTAGTACCTCAATGACATCGGATGGTGCGGTCGGGTATGCTTGATTCGCTAGCCTCCGTATACTTTGTCCCAGCTCCGGTAATGACTCGGTCGCCTTTTGCCGCTTTTCTCGTAGCTGCGCACGATAGAGTTCAGTCTGGTTTGGTGGAGCAAACCGTTCACTGAGAACATATACCAGGTCCCTATATTTCTTCAATGGTCCACCTGGGAGGTTACCGAGTACTCCTTGTGCCTGGCCCCTGAGGGAAACAGCTAAGTATAACCCCTTCTCATCCTCGGTCCAATTTGCCAATGCAGCACACGATTCAAAATGGGCCTTGTAGTCCAACCATGACCCACTGCCGTCGTAGGTTGCAGGCTTGATATTAAATGATGGTGTTCGCCTGGTCTTTGCTTCGTTTGTGTCTGAACACTTGCTGCGCGGTTGGTATGTCCCGTCATCATACCAATACTTTGGTCGACTCAGTGGTTTACTGGATACAGATTCTTGCCAGTAGTGATCGGACAAGGGACCTTGTCGCTCCTGTGACAACCCGTCGCCAGTATTATTTCCGTATCTGTCCATGTCTGGTGTCTGCGGGCTAAACTGTACAAGCTTAGTATGTAGGTCAGCAGCATCCTTCGAACTCTGCCCCAGACCACCACCAGAATCAACATCTGAACTGCGCACAGTCACTATCCCGGAGTCAGCTGTGTTTTTCTCGTCTAATACCACCGTGGTAGTACTCCTCGGAGTCGAGTGCCTGGCTGGACCATCTCCTGGTTTCTGTCCTACACCATATGATGCGATGCGGGCCTCCAGCTCCTCTATGGTCTTGTTGATATCCTCCATTGCAAGTTAATACAAAAAAAATAACAATAGCTATGTTCAACTATGATCCCACCGCTGCCACCATTAAAATGTAACGTGCACCCTATGGTAGCGCGCGTGCACGCCGGGTCTCTCAATTTAGACAGAGCTACCTGCTCCGGAAGCGATTGGAATTCCTCAGCTACCTGGCTGAGCAGTTGAAAAATTACTCAATTTAATAAACAATATATCTATACACTACAACAGAGAAGGACAGTACCTCTGTCCACCATGTCACCATACACGAGCCAACAATGTGTCCGCGGTACGTATCACGTCGCCTAGGCGTATGTTGCCCAACAAGGCTACCACACACCGCAACACTAACAGACTGTCAGCACTACAACACTGCAAGCACGTCCCTTATTACTGAGCCGACCACCGTACAGCTCCGACGTCGCCTGCCAGTGTCCTGTTATTATCACAGTACAAAGTGTTGTGCCAAGTACTGTATCAGTAGTCAGGCGTACCAGAGTAGCCTTTGCAGGCAACCCCTTTTCAGGAGATTCTGGCGTACCTGACACGTCAACGTACTGGCACCGACCACACGTAACAATAACTGTTACCAGAGCTGCCTTATTCAGGCAACCCCTTACTCAGGAGCTTCTGGTAACAGTATAATTGAACTGTGTGCTATAATACTTTATTACCTGTGATATAGCCGACCTTCTTCCGTCTGTCAAAATCTTCTTTTTGTTTACTGGTTTCAACCAGTATTTACATAAAATCTTATGTATTATTCTGGGTGTCTCCAGTATTTTCCTTCTCAATTAATACAGCACCAAAACCCACAAATACGCAAGACAAATGTTTTTATTTATTTATACAGGTATGATTACACATTTAGTAAACACTAGTTTCATGAAAACATAAGTCAATCATCGATAATTAAAATAATTAGGTAGGTGGGGAATGATACAAAACAGGACGTATACAAAACGTTACATGAAGGGAGATAACTCTAACTGAATAAAATCGTCACACAATATAACGATTTTAATGATTTTTAAATTCTGAGGACACTTCTCATACAATCTATTCCCCTATACACTTGAAAAAGCAAAAGGACGATTAAATTGACATGAATTATATTCAATTCTTCATAACAAACATAACGTAATAAGATGTTTTTTGGAGATATTTCTTGAATGTCTATAGGTACAATTTATATTACCCATCTTCGATACTACATGGGTTACGCTCACTATCGTTCTCTACAACCCTGGAATATTTCTTGGCCAAATTGAAGTGTGAGAGACCTCATAGATAAGAAAAGAAGACAAGTTTGATCCTTTGATGTATATCACACGAATCTCAAAGCCGCATAACGGTATGTAGTAGTGGCTTTGTTGGGTGTCGCTCCTTGTAATCTCAGGAGAGCGTATCACTTTGTGATTGGTCAGTTTGTTTCCTCCTGAAGCCCTCTCTACGCCAATCAATTTGCTTCACCTGTGCCTTAAATTTTGTTAGGAAACGTTCCAGGGGTGTAGAGAGCGATAGTGATTATACCAGTATTTAGGATGTATACGATACCTGGCGGACAGTCAATATGTAGACGCCGACATTTAAGTATTTCCTGACTGTCCCTTACTGTCCTCGAGTCCACGGAAAATGCCTGGAAACTTCCTATAGGACATTGATGACAATAGTCGGATGTTCTGTTCTTCTTACAAAACGACAATTCTAAGGATAGCAAAAAGACGAAATGGATATGGTTTATGCCAATGAAATTAACTGCACTGTTTATGATCTTTTAGATTTCAACAGTGATGGTAAAGGTCCAAAGTGTTAAATTAGCTTTATAATATCCAGTTTTACCAACATATCGTAAAGTATAATAGTACGATGAGATTACTTTCCTGGTGAATCTTAATATAGCTGCAGAACATCCGGGTCTTATGTGTTTCATGACGTCGTAAATTCATCGTTAGGTCGAATGACATACACTAGTAATGATAAAAGAACTAGAATGCCTCAAGTCAGGAATTCATCCATGTGATACTAATTGAAATTCTATTCATGTGAAATATATGTAGTTGCATGTGGATTTGTGTTGCTTTTCTAAACTGGAAAACAAAGTTGGATAGAGCACACCGTTCCATAGTGAAATATCAGTATACAGGTGTTTGAAGAGGGTACCAGAACTGATATGTAGGTACCATTTCTTGGCTGAACTAGCTTTTAATCTTATATAAATCGTGATTGATGCTCGATAGTTTGTCAGTTGGTTCCGTTTTGGTATAACTTGTCCTCATCTGAGAACGTCACATTGCTTATTAGATTTTCACATCGTGGATGAAGCAGAAGACACTCTTCCGGAACCCCTGGTCTTATTATCCTTGTGCTTATGCAGGAGTCTCCATGCATGTCGCCCTAGTTTTATTGAATTTCAGTTTGAATTATGGTTATGTTTATGATTATGTTGACATGTTAGTATTTTCTTGTTGTTTTCTAATTTATGATGTCATTAGTAGCTGTGCGGTAGTGCAAAGGATAGTTATGACTAGATCTGTTATGTTTAACGTGAATGTTGAAAAACAACGGGAATTTAAACCTGGTAATATGGAAATTAGAATCAGGCTGATATTCAAGACATAATACACTGTTTCCCTAACATGCATTAACCAGCACTGTAATACTCGATAACATTGATTTAAGTTGTATGTAAATTTCATTGTGTAAAGATGGAATAAATTAGACTTTGATTTAACCAATACTTAACTGTAATGTATTAATTGAAACATATAACCTGTCGGATGAAGATGTTGATTTTTTCTAGTTCTAGATCTTTGCTCCAAATGTTTAACATCTTTTAACCAATTTAGTATAGTTATTGATTTAATGTCGCTGTGTACATATAGATTCTTGTTTGTATGTTGATTGTAGGTAAATGTAAATATGTTTATATCTAAATTACCTTCATATTGAAATAGATAAGGAAAATATCAATTACAGTAATTTAACGTCAATTAGACAGGATATATTAGGACATAAAATCACAAAGAGAGCACATATCAAGTATACATTCGAAAACACTACATACCTAGAAATAGTTTTAATAAATACCAAGAAAACAATTCTCGTGCAATATTGGCAGTCACTTAGAAGTCATCTTTGTAAAGTATGCATTGATGAGAAGTGGTTTGTCCTCTCATGCGAACATGTATATATCCCATTAAGTGGAATGCGTTATCAGACATGTACTAGTTGTCCTAATCTCTTCTGTAAACAGTTGTTGACACAAGGGGAAGAAAATCACACGTGTATTTTTAATGACCGTGGACCTCGGATTTGTCAACCGGCACATAAACTTGAATTCTGCTGATATTTCGTTTAAATAACGTCAGTCATGAGTGCTAAAACAAAAATCAATGTTTAAAAAATAATATCCTGGCCTCGAGTGCCTGTGAGGAAAACAAGACAGGAGAACTTGCACGTGATATAAATAGACCTCCGACAAAACGTGCTTCCACTAATGACGTCACCAATACCCGGATGGTAAATCAGGGTGATTTGATCGCTTGCTTGATTAACATCTCGAAGCAGGTGTGAATCGGCGCGTTTAGACGGATATATCTCGGAAACGGATGGTCGAATTTCGATGCGGTTTTCGGCATTTTTGTTCTTATACAACAAAAAATCCATTAAAAATCGAACCTATCAGCATTCAGGTTCCTCTTTAAAGCTGTTCGTAGATACACAGAAGCAGGAACCTATATATTAACGATATATACGTCCCTGACAGAACGTAGATATACAGATACATGTATGTAGAACACCTTTATCAATCTACTGTAATATGTATATAACCACATATACACGACTTTTAAATAATATATATTTATATTAATATACTTCTAAATCAACATACCCGACTTGTCAACACAGTACAGATCAAGGACAGATCTTTAAGCCACATTGTATACAGGTAGAAGAGAAGTCTGGCATAACTCGGTTGTTAACGACGACACTAAAACACGGACTTATATGTATATACGCACATGTGCACTTTGCACAAGTGTATACATGTAACGAGCAAACAAGTGACTACATGATTGCTGAAAGAGCAGTGATTTGATATTTGCATAAGAAAGTTCTAGCACCTTAGGATATCCATACTGATATGGTAGCAACACTAGGGAATGATGCAGACTTTGTCTGCCATTAACGATTGTGGATTTGAATTGATTAAGCATCCGTCTTATTCGCCTGACTTCGCTCCGCCAGACTTTCATCTATTTCCGAAATCGGTCAGGTGATGACGTCATATATGCAGTGGAAGACGTTCTTATCGGTCAAGAAAAGGACTTCTTTAAAAGTGTTACCGAGGCCCTTAAACATCGATGGCAAAGGTGTATAAATACTGGAGGGGATTATGTTGAAAATTAATGCAATAAGTTCGCCAAAAGTCAGGCCCTTAAATATGAGACTCACAACTTATCAATTACCCTTGTATTGTTTCTTAAATGAAGTGTTAGGGGCTGGAACATCGAAGACATTCAGTAACCGATCTAATGTGTAACTATGAGTTTTAATGATGTCTACAAGAAGGGATAACCTGTAACTTCACCTTACATGATCATTCAACTGTGCTCGATCAATACATTTCTTAGAACAGAGTACTTGATAGAAAAATGGTTATGTTGTAAAGGGGTAGATATTACAAAGATTTAAGACACATTTAGATAAATCTATCTACAAAAATCTAAAGTGAATAAAAGGAAGTTTAGACAACCTAATCTAATGGTAGATATGACGGGATATATATCTATTCTAATGGTAGATATGACGAGTTACATATCTATTCTAATGGTAGATATGACGGGATACAGATCTATTCTAATGGTAGATATGGCGGATACATATATATTCTAATGGTAGATATGACGGGATACATATCTATTCTAATGGTAGATATGACGGGATACATATCTATTCTAATGGTAGATATGACGGGATACAGATCTATTCTAATGGTAGATATGACGAGTTACAGATCTATTCTAATGGTAGATATGACGAGTTACATATCTATTCTAATGGTAGATATGGCGGGATACATATATATGCAAATGGTAGATATGATTGGATACAGATCTATTCTAATGTTACAAATGACGGGATACATATCTATTCTAATGGTAGATATGACAAATACATATCTATTGTAATGGTAGATATGACGGGATACATATCTATTCTAATGGTAGATATGACGGGATACAGATCTATTCTAATGGTAGATATGACGGGATAAATATATATTGTAATGGTAGATAAGACGGGTTACAAATATACTTTGATGTTAGACATGACGGATACATATCATTTCTAATGGTAGATATGACGGGATACATATCTATTCTAATGGTAGATCTGGTGGAATACATATATATTATAATGTTATATATGACAGATACATATCTATTCTAATGATAGATATGGCGGAATACATATCTGTTGTAATGGTAGATATGACGGAATGCATATCTTTTCTAATGGTAGATATGGTGGAGTACTATTGTAATGGTAGATATGACGGGATAAAGATCTATTCTAATGGTAGATATGACAGATACATATCTATTCTAATGGTAGATATGACGGAATGCATATATATTCAAATGGTAGATATGACGGGATATAGATCTTTTCTAATGGTAGATCGGACGGGATATATATCTATTGTAATGGTAGATATGACGGTATACAGATCTATTCTAATGGTAGATATGACGGTATACAGATCTATTCTAATGGTAGATATGACGGGATACATATCTATTGTAATGGTAGATAAGACGGGTTACAAATATATTCTTATATTAGACATAATGGGTACATATATATATTCTCAAATGTTGATATGTATGACACTGTAAAGTGTCTTTTTATGACGTTTGAAAACACATGATACCAAATTTAGTGTTATACTCACCGAAGGTCGCGTACATAAAATAAAATGACCGACACTGAAGATATAGGGAATTTTTGTAACAGAAACTTGGGTAAATATTGATTTTAAAGTGTTTAAAGTGAGTGTACATCCGACAACTTCATTAGAGCTCACGTGAGGTGTTGCTTTCTGTCTCAGAATATCGTGTTATCTGCTCAGTTAATTCTAAAACAAACAAAAAAATGTCAGTAAATATGTGTAACCGTGGTAAATACAACTCGCAATATACAGCTTGGATAGCGAGGACTTCTCTTTCGCTGGATTGGTTGAGCGTCAGAGTAGTGAGTCAGAAGTCCCGGGTTCGAATCCTAGCGGAGGCATTGAAATGAATAATGACCATATTTGCTTATCATACTAAATTAAACGCCCATCATACCAAACCACCCGAGCAAAAATGTACACATGTCCGTTCTAGTTCTTAAATTGAAACCTTGAATTGATTTAACAATGAAATTCTGTGCCTTTTCTAACATATAAATTTCTCTTTGCTTTTATTGTCACAATTCACAACCATACAATGCTGAAGGGTAAACTTTAGACTTTACTATTTTTGCAGTAGTAAGAGGATTGAGCGTATATGGATGTGCCCCAGAACGAATCAAAGACATTACTCCACACTTCAAACTTAGAACAAGCGCGTTCTGTGCGTTCGATATTTTTATTTTTGCTGTTCAACAAAACACCAACATGTGTACTGCTTTCAACAACTGGTAATTTCGAACCATATAGAGTCACATCACATGATACACTTGAAAACAAGGATCTTAGATTTAGCGGAAGAAAAAGTAAATCTGCACTTTCGGCTGTATAATTCACAAACTGAAAGTAAATGCTGTAAATTGTAAACGTTGTTACTTACAAGAAATATGTCATCGGCTTGTGTGGGTGAGGATAACACTACTGACCCTTTCCCGCTAGATTCAACATTATTTAGCAGATCAGCAGAAAGTATAGTGAAGTTTAACCATCGTCAAATTAATCACGTTGGGAAATGTGTTATTTTCTTGTACAATATTCAGTATCATGCTTGCTTGTTTGTATTGTTGGTTTGTTGTTTACAGTGTCCTTGACTTTGTATATGTACTTGTTCAAATCGACCAAGATTTACGTACCGGGTGTGCTCGATGAAGCAGAAGACGATTACTCTGTCAGAATACTGTATCTTATTCACTTTTTATATTATTGGTGTATATAAATGTTTCTGTTGTTTATGTGTTGTCATACAGTTACATCGGCAAAGTTTTGTTACGATTACATTAGCACGTCGCTATCTTCTTTGTTATTTTAAAGTCTAGTATTATCTTCACCAATCTAAAATGTTTTACATGCTTAAAGTATGCAAAGTAAAAATGAAATTAAATATTACTTCTGTAGTAACAAGCAGATTCTAATATAATCAGCAGTATTATCCAAACACTGAGATTATTTGTCCGGTCAATTTTGGAAAAGCGTTCCGCATACTACCCTTTCCCAATCTTATCCCTTATATAGTAGAAAAAAATTCACGATCAATCTATCAGTCTTGCAATAGATGAATAAATCAATGTATGATATAAACTCATCTAGAAAATAACAGTTACTGATGATTTTCGTTTTGTGTCATTGAAGTATCTTCTTGTTAACCTTTTATTTTTATTGGCAGTGCTCTAAGCGACATAATCTCGTCTGTCTCTTCTACAAAATGACGCCCGTTTTGTTGTGAGGATAACCGTTGATATCGGTTGGAGATGATCGATCTGCCATTGCCCTTTGAAGACGGTGAAATGTTTCAATAGAAATGAATCTGAAAAATATTTTCAGAGATTTTAATCCAAGGTAATATACATTCGATGTAGTAGGTATTTGGGCATAACCCGCGTCGAATAGGATATTTAGATGTCTGGCAGCTTATATCTAGCACTAGGTCAACATTTGTTAAAATGTTGTGAAAATGCTATCTTAGCTTTTGGATATGTCCTAGTGCTTGCGTAACTCGCCATTGATCAGGTGACCACCTGGTGTACTGGTGTATACGACTTGCATCTGGAGTGCATATTTAAGCATATTGGTTACCCAAATAGCCTTAGATTTTTGTTCTGTATCTTACAAGTTTATTGGGCTTTCGATTTACTAAATGACTGTAATCACAATATATTGTTATATATTTTATTCGGAGATCATTCAAGGTTTTGTCTTAATGTTTTCAAATGATCAGATACGTACATTTTTGTGCTGTTGAGTCACATTATTTGAAATCCTGACTGTAAATTGAGAAATACATATCTTATAAAAAAAATAAGGGTATCACTTTAAGTTGAAGCTTAGAGACTGTGCTAGAGCTAAAGACCTTGGGTCTCTTTGTTCTTGTGATCAGCTCCTCAGCACTTTAGATGTAGCAATTCTAGTGTAAATTGAGATGGGCTTGCAAATATTAATACAGGCTGTGGAAGGCTCTGTCGAGCCTTGTCAGAAAGCAGAATAAGATCAGTAGGTCCACCCTTATTTAATAAACAAACAACCCTGGTCCAACTGGTAAAATTGATAAAAGAAGATATTTTATATGTAATAATCCGAAGGATTTTGACTTTCCACATCAATTAAGCTTCAAATTAACTGTAAATCTCCTACATGGTTTATTGTCAGACATAGGTGACACTAGATACATTTCAGAGTTAATTTGATTTAGGAATCTAACCCTGAGACCAGTGTTCATGTTGTTATACTTGTTATTTTCATCCCACCACCATAATATCAGATTTGTTGAAGCTAAACGTAACATAGTTACAGTTCCAGCCTAATGCCTCAGCACCTTGTAATAGATGTTACTACCATTCTTAGCTTTATGATTGATTCAAACTTTCCAACGAGTTAACCACAGTACCTAGCAGCAGTCCTATGCCATAGATAATGCTGCCATTATTCAAAACAGTGTCATGCTTGCATAGAGTTACTACGAGACAAGCAAGTATTATACTAAAAACTTACTTAAAGTGATCAACTGTGTGTTCCTGATACTGTTCTGATAGAAGCTATGCATCAACCATGAACTAGCATTGCTCTTGTTTTAAGTTAAATCTTTGAGATGAGATAATATTATGGGATGTTCAGTTTACTTTTATTAACTCTCATTAGCTTGATTATGTATTTAATTTATTTTGTCAAAGTACTAAAATCATGTCAGAGTAACCAGACCAGTCATGTGGGTTTTCCCAGCATACTCCAGTTTCCTGCCACAGTAAAACTTGTTACAGCTCCCTATGGAGCCAACTTGTTTTACAAGTGTTGTAAAGTGATTAATTTTATATAATTTAGCTTCTGCCAGTGAGTATGTTTACCTATCCTTTTTTTGTTTTTCAGTAAATTTCTGGTGTTTACAAGCCTGCTTGTGTTTTCTCTCCTGTTTGCACTGCGACTGGATGACACTATTCAGTGGAGTTATTGGGTTGTTTTCCTTCCCATCTGGATATGGAAGTTGATGGTTGTTCTTGGTGCCCTGACAGGCAGCTACATTTGGTGGAAAAATCCCCACTATAGGTGAGTTTGATTACCAGGAGATTTATTGTATGTTATCACAGCTTACCCACAGTCTATAGATTTATTGTATGTTATCACAGCTTAACCACAGTCTATAGATTTATGGTATATGTTATCACAGTTTACCCACAGTCTATAGATTTATTGTATGTTATCACAGCTTACCCACAGTCTATAGATTTATTGTATGTTATCACAGCTTACCCACAGTCTATAGATTTATGGTATGTTATCACAGCTTACCCACAGTCTATAGATTTATGGTATATGTTATCACAGCTTACCCACAGTCTATAGATTTATGGTATATGTTATCACAGCTTACCCACAGTCTATAGATTTATTGTATGTTATCACAGCTTACCCACAGTCTATAGATTTATTGTATGTTATCACAGCTTACCCACAGTCTATAGATTTATGGTATATGTTATCACAGCTTACCCACAGTCTATAGATTTATTTTATATGTTATCACAGCTTACCCACAGTCTATAGATTTATTGTATGTTATCACAGCTTACCCACAGTCTATAGATTTATTGTATGTTATCACAGCTTACCCACAGTCTATAGATTTATTGTATGTTATCACAGCTTACCCACAGTCTATAGATTTATTGTATGTTATCACAGCTTACCCACAGTCTATAGATTTATTGTATGTTATCACAGCTTACCCACAGTCTATAGATTTATTGTATATGTTATCACAGCTTATCCACAGTCTATAGATTTATGGTATATGTTATCACAGCTTACCCACAGTCTATAGATTTATGGTATATGTTATCACAGCTTACCCACAGTCTATAGATTTATGGTATATGTTATCACTGCTTACCCACAGTCTATAGATTTATTGTATGTTATCACAACTTACCCACAGTCTATAGATTTATGGTATATGTTATCACAGCTTACCCACAGTCTATAGATTTATTGTATGTTATCACAGCTTACCCACAGTCTATAGATTTATTGTATATGTTATCACAGCTTACAAACAGTCTATAGATTTATGGTATATGTTATCACAGTTTACCCACAGTCTATAGATTTATTGTATGTTATCACAGCTTACCCACAGTCTATAGATTTATTGTATGTTATCACAGCTTACCCACAGTCTATAGATTTATTGTATATGTTATCACAGCTTACCCACAGTCTATAGATTTATTGTATGTTATCACAGTTTACCCACAGTCTATAGATTTATTGTATGTTATCTTTGTATATCTTCAGTATCAAGATTTATAGTATGTTTTGAGTTCCCATATGCTGTCTTTAGATTTTTAAGATTGACATATGTTATTATCTACCTGCAGTCTTTAGATTTATTGTGTGTCGTCATTATTTATCTGGCTTCCATGTTTATTTATTTATGTTATTATTTTAATATGATACCCAAGATACAATACAGTTATTATTCTCAGCATAGTTTTTCAGAATGGACATTCCAGATGTCCAAATATTCCAAATATATATTTTTGGAGCTAATAAATCATATCTGCTATAGAATCCCCATACTTGGATAAATAACAAAAAAATTCCCATAGTGATTCATTGATCACTACAAGTGTCAGGGCACTTTTCTTTTATTATTATTTGTTATCAAAGTGTGAGGTTGTAAAGTTGGCCTGAGGAGATACAAGTAGATGGTGATTGTTACTTTACATGTTACTTTACATGTTACTTTACATGTTACTGATGTCTGTCTGGGACAGGGTGGAAGGCAACAATTACGTTCAGTTTAAGGCTATGGTGATATGTACTGGTATGCACCTACTATTACTGATGTTCGAGATCTTAGCCTGTGACAACCTGGAGTCCCAACACAACCGACACCCTTGGATTCTTGTATTCATCCCTCTCATGTGTATGTCTGTCATCTCAATTGGGATCTGTGTGTGGGCTGTAAAAAATGACCGCTCCTTTGAGGTAAGTGGTTAGAATATTGTTATTGTGACACAATTAAATATCAGCTTACTTTCAATTTTTAACAAATAAGCGTTATGATGAATGTGTTTTTCGTATCAATTATCCCCCGCTTTCACGGAAACGGGGGATATTAATTTGGGTTTGTCCGTCCATCCATCTGTCTGTCACACTTTCCGTGTTCTAACTTCCCCATATATCATCCAATATGGATGAAGCTTAGTCAGCAGATGCATCCTGGGGTCATTAAGACCAAGTTTGACTATCAGAGTCATCTGTTAATAATTATGCATGCTAATGAGGTATCCTTTGATTTCATTGGTTGGTTCATATCCATGCTCTAACTTCCCTAAATATTATCCAATTTAGATGAAACTTGGTCAGCAGATGCATATTAGGGCACATAAGACTGAGTTCAGCAATCAGCATCATCTGTTAATATCTATGCATACTAATTAGGTATCCTTTCATTTCATTGGTCAGTCAGATTTTGTGTCGCCTGCAGAGCTGGCAGACACTTAGGGATCACTTTGTCCATCATGACACGTCGGCGGTGTTTGTATGAAAGTTTTCTGGACTTTTTCCGCTTATGCTTTGAGTTAGCAAAATGAAATTTAGTATATGGCTTCTTGTTGGAAGGGTTCAGATTAAGTTCGATTCCCGGCTGTCTGTAACCCTTCTTGGAAGAGTTATGTCCCTTTGAACTTAGAAAATTCTTTGGGAATATTGTTTTCTGGACTTTCTTTGGTTATGCTTTGAGTTACAGAAATGAAATTTGGTATATGGCTTCATGTTGGAAGGGAGCTCTTTGCAAAGTTATGCCTCTTCGAAAATTCTTCGAGAATATGGTTTTCTGGAATTGTCTTGGTTATGCTTCGAGTTATGAAAATGCAATTTTGTATATGAGTTCTTGGTCAAAAGTTACGCACTGAGTTCGCTTCTTGGCAGTCTGTAACCCTTCTTGGCAGTGATATGTCCCTTTTAACTTGGAAAATTTCTCAGAAATATTGCTTTGCGCAGTTTTCCCTTTATGCTTCGAGTTATAGAAATAAAATTTGGTATTACAACTTTAAAGTTGAATGTTGCACATCCAGTTCGATTTCTGGGTGACCGTGACACTTTATGCAGGCGACACATACAGTTCAGAGGAACTCATGTTGTGCTCTAACTTTCCTAAATATAATCTGATTTAGATGTAACTTTGAAGTCCCACAAATATTATCAGTTTATCATTAAACTTAGCACCAGAGTTATGATCCATATATTTATCTTTCCTTGGCTATAAAACAATAAATCATAGCTCAAGAGAATATATCATTCTACATAGCATGATGACATGTTTACTCCTAACCTCTAAAATATTTACTGACAATATGTTTGGAAAGCGGGGGATATAAATTCCATGTTTCTCTATCTTTCTTTCCCGTTTGAGAACGTGACATTATTTACTTTAATTGACCAAGGTTTTCATGGCGGATTTTTACTCTCTCGGAACACCTGGTCTTATTCTCCTTGTACTTTTTCAGGAGTCTTCGTGTAAATCTTTATTTTTTTATATTGATACTATACAGAAACTATAATTGACACAATCTTCTATTGTGTTCTAGCTCTGTATTTTTACCTTGAAATGAAATTACTGCTAAAGTATGTATGTTTTCTGTAGTTTCTTGACATGGCTGATCACATAAAATGTAGATATATCTCTGTGAATATTCTACTGTTTGCACATGTCAGTATATGTAGGTCTTCTAAAATGCTGATCACTGTAACAAAAATATAATTACTGAAAATCTGTACTGCAGTTTGATGCCATTATAAACTGGATTAAATAAAAAAAGCATTGTTTAGTCTTTCTATAGATTTATGTACATGTAGATATATATTCTCTGTGTTGAATAGAAACCATTGTGTATCTAGATAAGAAGATATGGTAATTTATCCATATTTGATGATAAAATATACATTTCTCAAAGGACATTGTATAATTTAGACACAATCCTGCTGTCCAGTAAGTTATGAGAATTTAAAAATTTTGTGATATGCTGAAAAAATTACGTTTCAAATCTTTTTTGAGAAATGAATAAGGTATTAAAACCAAAATGTTGTGATTTTTGTTGAGAAAGGAACAATAGGTCTTTAGTAACCGACTTTCCTCTTTCTTCATCAGCTGGAACTTTTCTCATCTGTTAACATTCTGCAATTTATATTCTTCGCACTGCGGTTAGACAATACCATAGACTGGAGTTGGGTAGTAAGTATATATCAGTGATGTATGTATGTAACAGTGTGCAAGGTGATGACAATGTTAAATTGTAACGATAAAAGGATAAAATCAAGGCAAATTTTTGGTTAAAGACATTGCAAAATTTCAAATTGAAAAATAATAGAAAATCAAATTCATGATTAATACAATACAGAGTAATGTTTGGTCAGAGTAAATACATTGTAAATAGGAAATTCTTCAGTAATGTTTGGTCAGAGTAAATACATTGTAAATCGGAAATTCTTCAGTAATGTTTGGTCAGAGTAAATACATTGTACTAAGTAAATCGGAAATTCTTTAGTAATGTTTGGTCAGAGTAAATACATTGTAAATCGGAAATTCTTCAGTAATGTTTGGTCAGAGTAAATACATTGTAAATCGGAAATTCTTTAGTAATGTTTGGTCAGAGTAAATACATTGTAAATACATTGTAAATCGGAAATTCTTCAGTAATGTTTGGTCAGAGTAAATACATTGTAAATCGCAAATTCTTCAGTAATGTTTGGTCAGAGTAAATACATTGAAAATCGGAAATTCTTTAGTAATGTTTGGTCAGAGTAAATACATTGTAAATCAGAAATTCTTTAGTAATGATTGGTCAGAGTAAATACATTGTAAATCGGAAATTCTTCAGTAATGTTTGGTCAGAGTAAATACATTGTTGTAAATCAGGAAATTCTTCTTTGATATTTTTTAGTAATGTTTGGTCAGTCCCACATAGTCTATCAAACCTTTAAATACATTGTAAATCGGAAATTCTTTAGTAATGTTTATTAATATTTCTATCTCTCTATATACTTGGTACATTGTTTATATTGATCTGAATAAATGTTTTTTGTTTTGTACCATATCAACCTGTTGGTATATTTTAGATAACATCTAATTTTGTGAGATTATAATTTCAGTTGTAGAAAGGCCCCCACCACATTTTCTGTCTAATTTGAAATTAGAAAATATTATAATTTGCTCTTTGTGATAAGTTGTCAGTTTTGTATTTCTATAAATTAAAAAAAACACATTGTTACTGGGAATTATTTGATAAAGTGTTAATTTTGTTTCTCTCTGCAGATTGTATTCATTCCTATCTGGATTGTTATGTGCACTGCTATGATTGGTGTTTTATATGCGATAATTCTTGCCATAATATTGGTCAAGTCTCCAGACATCATTCCCGAACAGAGACGAGGAAACATCTCGTCAGCAATTGGTTATGCTTTTCTGGTGATACCATTGCTTATATTTGAGGTAAAAATGTTACTAGACACGTCAGTAAATCTGTTACAAGACACGTCAGTAAATCTGTTACTAGACATGTCAGTAAATCTGTTACTAGACACGTCAGTAAATCTGTTACAGGACACTTCAATAAATCTGTTACTAGACACGTCAGTAAATCTGTTACAAGACATGTCAGTTAATCTGTTACAAGACATGTCAGTAAATCTGTTACAAGACACATCAGTAAATCTGTTACAAGACACATCAGTAAATCTGTTATAAGACACTTCAGTAAATCTGTTACAAGACATTTCAGTAAATCTGTTACAAGACACTTCAGTAAATCTGTCTACAAGACACCTCAGTAAATCTGTTACAAGACACTTCAGTAAATCTGTTATAAGACACTTCAGTAAATCTGTTACAAGACACTTCAATTAATCTGTTACAGGACACTTTAGTAAATCTGTTACTAGCCATTCAGTAAATCTGTTACAAGACACTTCAGTAAATGTTTTACTAGCCATTCAGTAAATCTGTTACAAGACACTTTAGTAAACTGTCACAAGACATTGCAGTAAATCTGTTGCAAGACACTTCAGTAAATCTGTTATAAGACATGTCAGTAAATCTGTTGCAAGACACTTCAGTAAATCTGTTATAAGACATGTCAGTAAATCTGTTACAAGACACGTCAGTAAATCTGTTACTAGACACGTCAGTAAATCTGTTACAGGACACTTCAGTAAATCTGTTACTAGACACGTCAGTAAATCTGTTACAAGACACGTCAGTAAATCTGTTACAAGACACGTCAGTAAATCTGTTACAAGACACATCAGTAAATCTGTTACAAGACACTTCAGTAAATCTGTTACAAGACACTTCAGAAAATCTTTTACAGGACACTTCAGTAAATCTATTACAAGACACTTCAGTAAATCTGTTACAAGACACTTCAATTAATCTGTTACAGGACACTTCAGTAAATCTGTTACAAGACACTTCAGTAAATCTGTCTACAAGACACCTCAGTAAATCTTTCTACAAGACACCTCAGTAAATCTGTCTACAAGATACCTCAGTAAATCTGTTACTAGACACGTCAGTAAATCTGTCTACAAGACACCTCAGTAAATCTGTCTACAAGACACGTCAGTAAATCTGTCTACAAGACACTTCAGTAAATCTGTTACAAGACACGTCAGTAAATCTGTCTACAAGACACTTTAGTAAATCTGTTACAAGACATGTCAGTAAATCTGTTACTAGACACGTCAGTAAATCTGTCTACAAGACACTTCAGTAAATCTGTTACAAGACACTTTAGTAAACTGTCACAAGACATTGCAGTAAATCTGTTGCAAGACACTTCAGTAAATCTGTTATAAGACATGTCAGTAAATCTGTTGCAAGACACTTCAGTAAATCTGTTATAAGACACGTCAGTAAATCTGTTACAAGACACGTCAGTAAATCTGTTACTAGACACGTCAGTAAATCTGTTACAGGACACTTCAGTAAATCTGTTACTAGACACCTCAGTAAACTGTTACAAGACACTTCAGTAAATCTGTTACAAGACACGTCAGTAAATCTGTTATAAGACACTTCAGTAAATCTGTCAACAAGACACCTCAGTAAATCTGTTACAAGACACTTCAGTTAATCTGTTACAAGACACTTCAGTAAATCTGTTACAGGACACTTCAGTAAATCTGTTACAGGACACTTCAATTAATCTGTTACAGGACACTTCAGTAAATCTGTCTACAAGACACCTCAGTAAATCTGTTACAAGACACTTCAGTAAATCTGTTACAAGACACTTCAGTAAATCTGTTATAAGACACTTCAGTAAATCTGTCTACAAGACACTTCAATTAATCTGTTACAAGACATGTCAGTAAATCTGTTACTAGACACGTCAGTAAATCTGTCTACAAGACACTTCAGTAAATCTGTTACAAGACACTTCTGTCAATCTGTCTACAAGACACCCCAGTAAATCAGTCTACAAGACACGTCAGTAAATCTGTCTACAAGACACTTCAGTAAATCTGTTACAAGACATGTCAGTAAATCTGTTACTAGACACGTCAGTAAATCTGTCTACAAGACACCTCAGTAAATCTGTTTCAGTCTGTTACTAGACACGTCAGTAAATCTGTCTACAAGACACCTCAGTAAATCTGTTACAAGACACTTCAGTAAATCTGTCTACGGGACACCTCAGTAAACTGTTACAAGACACTTCAGTAAATCTGTCTACAAGACACTTCAATTAATCTGTTACAGGACACTTCAGTAAATCTGTTACAAGACACTTCAGTAAATCTGTCTTCAAGACACCTCAGTAAATCTGTCTACAAGACACCTCAGTAAATCTGTCTACAAGACACTTCAGTAAATCTGTTACTAGTAAATCTGACACTTCAGTAAATCTGTACAAAATCAGTAAATCTGTCTACAAGACACTTCAGTAAATCTGTCTACAAGACACTTCAGTAAATCTGTTACAAGACACGTCAGTAAATCTGTTACAAGACACTTCAGTAAATCTGTTATAAGACACTTCAGTATAAGACACTTCAGTAAATCTGTCTACAAGACACCTCAGTAAATCTGTTACAAGACACTGCAGTAAATCTGTTATAAGACACTTCAGTAAATCTGTTACAAGACACTTCAGTAAATCTGTTACAAGACACCTCAGTAAATCTGTTACAAGACACTTCAGTAAATCTGTTACAAGACACTTCAGAAAATCTGTTACCAGACACTTCGGTAAATCTATATGATTTATTATTTTCAAACAAATGTAATTCTTTATATAACATGGTACATTGAAGAATATATACTGTCATAGTGTTGTATTTTCGTTGTCGGCTGGTGGCACTTCAACTGACTCAAAAAAATAAGTTACTTTTTATGTCTTAATCTGAATGTGAAAACTAGTATTGAATATTTTTCCTGTAAAGTTATAATTATTTGATGAAAAACACTGATATTCTTTCCTCATGTTTATTTCATTTATCACAACACAACAAATCTTGTCCTACTGGTTCTGGACTTTGTACCAATAGAGTATTTGATCTTGAAACACACTTGTCATTTTGTGTTTCAGATATTATTGACTAACCGTCTGGATGGAGACAATCATATTAAGTATACTGCCATCACTGTGCCTCTGTTCATATCCCTCATCACTCTCATCTGTCTTGCATTCGGTGCTAAGGGAGGCAACTGCTGTAAGTGCCTTTCTAGCCTTATCACAAGGGAATAGGTCATGAAATATCTCAAATTCATTGATGGAATATTGAAAATGAACATAAACTAGTCCACGCTTTTCAATATTTCTTTAAAGATTAATTTGATGATTAATGAGTAAAAAGGTCGAGCAGATTTCTTGTCCTAGAAAGATTGTAGACTATTGATGAATTTATTTTGATTAGATTTGTTGATGAATTCCATATTTTGAAACATATATTTCATCGCTGTTTTGTTTTTCAGGGTGGTTTGGTATAAGAAAAGACTTTTGTCAATTCTTACTGGGAGTCTGTCCATTTTTACAAGAGTATGGGAACATATCTTATTCACTTCAGAATGATGATACAGACCCAGAAGAAAATATTGTAGAAACTGCAAAAGTAGACATGTGTCAGTCTAAAAAGCACCATATATCTGACCAGCCACGAGCAGTAGTACCAGTCATATCAATAGAGACACCAGATTGATTTTGATCATATATACACCTTAATTATCATCACATCGTCCAATTACATCATGTTTAAATATTAGTTATTGACCAAACACAAGTTGTGTACATTTTATGTCACCATGTTTACCCTATTGGTCTCTGATCACATTTGTGTATGATGTTTTCTTGTAAGTTGGAAAATATGCCAGTGGGACAGGAACAATTAATATACTTAAACATATTTTGATAGTTTATTGATGTGAATTTGTGAAAATAAAATTACCCAATAAGTCAATGAAAATAATCCCCAACAAAAATTAAAGATTTAACATAAACACTGAAGAAGACTCTCCCGACTTTTAGTCCTGACCACACTGAACAACATTCGGGAGGCCCATTAAATGCCTTTAACAGCAATTACTACTTGAACCAACTTGAAAATATTACTTTCAGATATGAATTTTTTCATATAAAATAACAAAGAAGGGCACAGATCATGTATAGTATATCATTATATTGCTGTCTTTCAGGTAAATAATTTATTATTTGAAAAAATTTATTTCTTTTTCATTCAATTACTTGCTTAAATTCCTTATGAAAGTTGTGTTTTTTTTAAAGTTATTTACTTTCTTATTCACAAATGGAAAAATACAATCTATTTCTTCTGTTGTGTTGTAAAACTACATGAACAAGACATGACAATATTCTAACACTGAACGAGACCCGATATATCAATAAGTCTGACAATATTCTAACACTGAACGAGACCCGATATATCAATAAGTCTGACAACATTCTAACACTGAACGAGACCCGATATATCAATAAGTCTGACAATATTCTAACACTGAACGAGACCCGATATATCAATAAGTCTGACATCATTCTAACACTGAACGAGACCCGATATATCAATAAGTCTGACATCATTCTAACACTGAACGAGACCCGATATATCAATAAGTCTGACAACATTCTAACACTGAACGAGACCCGATATATCAATAAGTCTGACAATATTCTAACACTGAACGAGACCCGATATATCAATAAGTCTGACAACATTCTAACACTGAACGAGACCCGATATATCAATAAGTCTGACAACATTCTAACACTGAACGAGACTCGATATATCAATAAGTCTGACAACATTCTAACACTGAACGAGACCCGATATATCAATAAGTCTGACAACATTCTAACACTGAACGAGACCCGATATATCAATAAGTCTGACAACATTCTAACACTGAACGAGACCCGATATATCAATAAGTCTGACAATATTCTAACACTGAACGAGACCCGATATATCAATAAGTCTGACAACATTCTAACACTGAACGAGACCCGATATATCAATAAGTCTGACAATATTCTAACACTGGTTTTTTTATAGGTGCTTATTGCTGATTTTTAAATGTTCTTGGTATCATCCTTCCATGGACTGGTGACAGTTACTTAATGTCTTATAAAACCAGTGTACTTCATCCACAGACAACTTTAAAAAGTCAATATATGTATCTCAACTGATTTGCCAAAGGATAACTACATCGAAAATGCCAGAAATTGTTTCTCTTTTCTATTATTTTTTCCATGTTTGTGTGAAAATAGTGTATGCAAACATAATGTGCTTTAGAATGTTGGAATGAATCGGAAATTGAATTATTTGTTTGGTTTTAAAGCAAAAAAATGAATAAAAAAATAAAATCAACAAATGACAATACAAAACATGATATAGTGAATTGCAGAATGAACGTGAGAAGATGAATATGCTTTGTTGCTCTCATGTTGTTTTGTACTTAGTCTTATAGTTTTACTGTAATTATCAACATACAAGTCATGCTTCTTTTTAAGATAATTCTTGGTTTAAAAGTTGGAAAAAATGTATTCATGCACTGTGGTTGAAGAAGTTACCATTACACAGTCGTATTTATGTGTAAATCAGTTGAAACATTCATATTACAACTAAAATGGAAAATTGTGGGCTTTCATCAATAACACCAGATCTATTTTATTATTTTGCAGAAAAATAACTTAGTTTTTTTTTTAATTACTTACAAACAAAGAGATGCATTTTCAATGACTGATGTTATCAAAATTGTATTAACACTGAATCTGTCTTGAAATGTGAAATTTTTAGAATACACATGGATGTTGTTGGCATAACTGTCCTTACATAGTGATAGCAAAATATCTCATCAAAATATAACTGTGCCAAATATACCCCTCCTGTCTCAGTGTACGTAACATGGGATTACTTACTGTAGCATTTGTGTAGGTACAGTCACATTCACAAAGTCATCACTGCATTGAATTTTTGTACATTTTTGTTGAATTATAAAAAGTATGCATTAAGAGTTGTAAGTGATTTTTAAATTTAAAGTCATTCTTATTTTTTAAAAAAATGGATGTTTTATTGCTTGCTGTATTCTACATTCTCTCGTTTACAATAAAAACATAGTTTTTTCAAGATTATGCTTTAAGTAATGTCAATTTCCAAATGAATGAGTTTGTATGTTAATATGTTCTATGATTTACTTTTAGTGTTGTTAAATGTAATAGATATAGCAAAGGCTCAAAAGCCTGGACTACAACAAAACATCTCTGACATGAATGAAATAAAATAATTCTCAAATCTTGCTCTTTGAACACTTATTCCTTAAGGTTGTCTAAACTGTTGAGAAGGAATTCCTTAGGGTTGTCTAAGCTGTTGAGAAGGAATTCCTTAAGGTTGTCTAAACTGTTGAGAAGGAATTCCTTAAGGTTGTCTAAACTGTTGAGAAGGAATTCCTTAGGGTTGTCTAAACTGTTGAGAAGGAATTCCTTAGGGTTGTCCAAACTGTTGAGAAGGAATTCCTTAAGGTTGTCTAAACTGTTGAGAAGGAATTCCTTAGGGTTGTCTAAACTGTTGAGAAGGAATTCCTTAGGGTTGTCTAAACTGTTGAGAAGGAATTCCTTGGGGTTGTCCAAACTGTTGAGAAGGAATTCCTTGGGGTTGTCTAAACTGTTGAGAAGGAATTCCTTAGGGTTGTCTAAACTGTTGAGAAGGAATTCCTTAGGGTTGTCTAAACTGTTGAGAAGGAATTCCTTATGGTTGTCTAAACTGTTGAGAAGGAATTCCTTAGGGTTGTCTAAACTGTTGAGAAGGAATTCCTTGGGGTTGTCTAAACTGTTGAGAAGGAATTCCTTAGGGTTGTCTAAACTGTTGAGAAGGAATTCCTTAGGGTTGTCTAAACTGTTGAGAAGGAATTCCTTAAGGTTGTCTAAACTGTTGAGAAGGAATTCCTTAGGGTTGTCTAAACTGTTGAGAAGGAATTCCTTAGGGTTGTCTAAACTGTTGAGAAGGAATTCCTTAGGGTTGTCTAAACTGTTGAGAAGGAATTCCTTAGGGTTGTCTAAACTGTTGAGAAGGAATTCCTTAGGGTTGTCTAAACTGTTGAGAAGGAATTCCTTAGGGTTGTCTAAACTGTTGAGAAGGAATTCCTTAGGGTTGTCTAAACTGTTGAGAAGGACCTTGATACAATGGGAACATTAAAAGCAATAAAAAGGTCACAGTGAAAAGCACTTAAATTATACTGCAAAAATCATGGAAACATCCAATGAAAAGCAAAACCATAGAGACGCGTATTTTACTGTAAATATCAATTAAAAAACACCTCAATAAAACTAAGGAAAAGATGTAAAAACAAATTACTACGTGTTTTGAAAATCAATTAAAGATAATGAAAAAACACCTAAAATTTACTGTAAAAAAAGGTAGAAAAAATGGATATGGTATCAAGCACCCATAAACAGATTTGGGAAAAAAAATATATAGATTGCAGTGATCCGGATCTGATGAAAAACCACATGACAATAAGTCTTACAGGTGATATTTAAAATGAATACCCTAAAATATGTCGATATAGTCGGAATAGAAAGCAAATTGATCCAAACTAAATGCTTTAGGTTTGGTAGTAAAATCCATGTAGAATATTTATATTTAGTATGTATTTCATTAAGTCAGTGATAGTGGTCTAATATAAGGCTTCTGAACGTGAACAGGCCTTCGTCTTTTTAAGGAAGCTGTTGGTGAGAACAGTACTGCTGTTATGAATGAATATTCTATCAATTGGTGTGGTATGAAGCTGGACGCGTTTGATGCTCGTTACTTTGCCTTTTGGTTCCGTTGTTCTCATTTGGAAACGTGACATAACTTGCGTTGACCAAGGTTTACATGGCGGAAGTCATTGATGAAGCAGAAGACGTTTTCTCTCAAAGAACGCCTGGATTTATTCTCCTTGAACTTTTCATGAGTCTGTAAATTTATCTTTTAGTGTTGTTTTATCCTGATTTCACTGAATTTGAGTTTGGATGAAGATGGCATACCATATTGATCGACATTAACTTATTTGACTTTTGACCTTTGTAGATGCATACATCGACCTCTGTGATAACTTCGTTGTTATAAGATAGGGCAATGAAAGGTATATGACATATATTGATTTTGATGGTTTATTTGTCCTCTAACTTCGGGACCTAGATATTGACCTTTGACATAACTTCACATTCTTATGATTTGTGTAAATAAAAAGTATTCCATATTGCTTGATATGGATGACTTACTAAACCCTAGCCGATGAAACCGTGGGAGACTAAACATCGTTTCTCAGTCCATCGGTCCCTGCATTGGTGACAGTTTGTCAGCGTTCAAGCGCCTTCTTTCCCCGAGGGATTATCATCAAACTTCATACACTTATAAAGCTTCAAAATATCTGAGATAAATTCGAGTTTTAGGGTTGTTGGGTCAAAAGTCGCTACACCGACTATTTCTAGAAAATCGGTGTCAGCTCTCTAACAGCACCATTTTAAGTGATTCTTATCAGACGTTGCTGATTAAGCATCAAAGTATCTTGAACACGTTTGGGTTTCAAAGTTGCTCAATCAGGGTCAAGGTCACCGTTACTATTTTTAGCGTGTTCTTTCCTAGAGAGATTCTCATCACACTTCATACATTGTACACTTAAGAAACGTCGTATTATCTTGGACAAGTCAGTGCTCTGGGTAGTTAAGTTTAGGTCAAGGTTACTATTTGTAGAAAATGATGGTGAGCTCTTTAGTGGCTTCAGTCCCTGGGAGTTTCTCATCAATCACACACTTATAAAGCAGCGATATCGTCAACGATTTTTACTTTCAGAGTTGTTTGATCAAGTCCATTGTTACTAATTTTAGAAAATATTCCAGTGGTATTTTGTTCGAACGACATTTACAAAATGTACAAACAATAGTTATCCTCGGAACAAGTTCAAGTTTCGGGGTTGTCGCTTTAAGGTCAAGATAACATTACTGTTTTTAGAAAATCGTTATCAGCCTTCAAGCGGCTTGATTCTTTACATGATTTCGATCAAACCTCACACACTTACAAATTACTATTACATGTTATTACACACTGGTGAGGAAACTTTGTTGTCAGATTGTCATACTTGTTTATTGTACCCATTAAAATCAATTTCAAACTAATTGCACACGTTCCTGTTTTTCAAAATTAAAACCAAACAGCACCATCTTTGTATATCATTACATTGTAATACC